CCAGTTCTTTGTCGAAAATAAATGGCAATGATGTAAATATGTAGTAATATGCTTGAAACTGACCTTTAATTACTTCTAAGATTAATATAAATGAAATTCCCCGACGTACTTTGATTTTGAATTTTGATAATGACTCCCGAATGGCACATTTAATCACCGGATGTTTGCTCGAACATCGTAGATTGCAATATAAGGTGCTTCTTTTTTAGCTTTTTTTTGTTTTATCATACTTATTTGACGTTTCTTCATTTATTTGTTGTAGACGCTAAGGAATAATCTTGTTATTTAGGTCGCAGTGTTCTCTATAACGTATTGAATTTAGTAATCTAGCTTGTTCGACGTATATTAAGGAATTCTTGTCACATATTCCATTTACTATCTGTGTCACTTCATTTGATCAAAATCCGTTAAATCATTAATAGTCTGTCAAACAATTGATTATTTGATCGAATCGCACATCTTGACCCTATCTTCCAAATCAGTAAAATTAATCGTTTATCGTAAAACAAATCCCGGGGCCCCGTCATCCATAATCAATATTGAGCAAATGTGAAATATATGTATAAAAACATAATCAGAACCTCGTCAAGATTTCGCTCATCTACATCCGTACCTCTTCTATATTTTGAAGAGGGGTTGCTTAATGACGCTTTTAGCTTGGCTTCACTGGTACTACACTCCTTCCCATAAGTTTGGCAACCGGGCGTTTTAATAAGATAGCATATCAAACCTAACCTGTTTTTTCCATAGTAAGGCTTCGATAAATTATCAAAATGTTATTAATGGTTGTAAAACTTATGAAGGGAGTGTAGATAAGTACAAACCATGATAAATGATAAATTGATTGGGATGAGAAAAAGATTAAGTTGAGACTTAGCAGATAGAGGTGATAATAATTAACCAGATTATCTCTAAGCAATCAATCCCAGACGCATATCATGTCTTACAAAAACAAAGCTTATTGAGAATCATAATTACTCACACCTGCTTCAATAGAAGAAGCGGTCGACATTTCAAATTGACCTTTTAATTATGTTTGACAGGTAATATAAACATAAACTGCTTAACTCCGAAAAGGCAGTTGCAGAAAATCCGCGAGATAGCTCACCACTGATCGATTGAATGTTTACTAGAGACAGGATAATTCAATGGTTTTTGCCAAGATTTAGATGACCACTCGCCCATCCATTGTTTGTAACATCTGGGGTTTCAATCCTAAACCAATGACAACGATATGATCATGGCGATTATCTACAAGAAGTGACTACCGTAAACGATGAACCAATATACCAATACGCGATAACGTTTAATTCAGTTCAGTTTAGTTACCTCCCGTTTGAAGAGCTCTCATGTATGGTACAACTTCGTCTACATCCGGGTTCTTTCCCATTGGATTACACAGGGGTGCTTTTGAAACATTTATGTAGAGTTTCATTTGCACAAACGATAGGTACAGGGTGTCCGGAAAGTAAAGATACAAACACTCTAATTTTAAGAGATATAGGTTTTTTGTAATGAAATTGCTACAGACTGTAGAGGAACTATATTACAATACATCTACCAACTTTTATAACATATAGTTTAAACGTGTTAAAGTTACGATTGCCATGGTTACGGTGGTCAGGGGTATGCGGAGCAGTTCCATGATATCGCTAAATTGTCATAAATTGCTAGATTTTAACCATTTGAAACAGTGTTTATTATAGTATTTCCTATCAATATTTTGTTTTGTTCAATATTGTATTATTGCTGCCATAGTATTCTCTTAAGTATAATGATATCACTGATACATGTCAGAACGATGTAATGTCACTAACCAGTATAATCAAAGAAACATCATATCCATGCTTAGAAAAAAGGTTCCTGGATAATAGGAAAGTCAATGGTGCACCTCCACAATGCAACAATTCACAAAGCAAAGAAAGGAAATCTTACAATTGAATGTCTTGACATTAAACCTTTTTTGTAGAATGCCCCATGTTACCCTGATAATGTCCCGTTGGACTTATTACTACATTAATGAATATCTTAAAGCAATATTTGTTCAAGTTCAACATGAAAATGAGACTCTGCTTGAAGCCAATTTTAGAGATTCAGTAATCTGAGAGATGGACAGCAGCGGTTTTGTCAGGTCTATGAATCTCTGGTCAAGATGCACCACAAATGTTTAGATATTGTTGGGAAATACATAATACTGGATAACAGTAGTAATGTCAAATGACCAAATAATGTTACAGTACTACTTCTTTTGCTGTTGTGGTACATAATTTGATGTATAATAGCAACAGATGATGGAGTGTCAATTTTGATGAGTAGGAGAAAAGAATTATAAAACATAATTGTGACGCTGCTCCACATACCCGGGACTGCCGTAACCATAACAACCATAACTTTTTCATTTTGAAACAATTTGTCATCACAGTTGCAGGATAAATTGTTAAAATGTCATTTTACAATCTGTAGCAATTTCATCTCACAACAGGTAAATCTATTGAAATTAGAGCATTTGTATCTTTACTTTCCGGACACCCTGTATGTAATGTAATTAAGATATATAACAAGGCTTTTTGAACTATAATCGCCAAATCCGAAGAAATCTGTAGTTGAAAATGCCGTTCAATTCCAGTGACGTCACTGATTTCCCAGATATTGCTCAGACGCCATCGAAGATCGAAAAAATATAAATAATGTTACTTTGAATCTTCGATTATCTTTCTGATTATTGAATAGATTGGATCATATAACTATGCTTGAGGACTGACGGAAGATCAGAAGCTGAGAAACGTTCAGAGAAATCGACTCGTTCGGCGGGCCAATGAAAATATGTCCCTTCCAAAGCGATGCATCATGGGAGGTATTTATGTAAATTACCACCTGAACTCTTATCGCGAATAGGAGTATTATCCACTGCGTAGTGCGTATCATATGTAAAAAATGATTGGTAATTTACGACAGCAGAAATAAAACGCAATTCTAACCTGTTTTTGCCTGATATGACTGATGCCGTCTACGTTACAATTGAAGGTTACACATTCATCATTTTGTGATATACGATAGGGCTTCCGAGGAACAAACGTTTATTAGATTATTAGAGTTTCATCATCGTAATGCGACCAATGACTCCAGCTATAGCTAAGACAATAACAACTCCAACTGTGTGTATTTCAAACTCAGTTTTCTCTGAACTTGGGCAGGATATGTCGATTACATTGCGTTCAAACACCCACCCCTTCTCTCAAGTACTTTAACATTGAGGGGACATTCAGTGCCAGACCGATGCAATGAAATATTTATTTAATATATAACAGCGTTTGTAATTGATTATCTACCCGGGGTTCGTGTGCTTTCCTGGAATGAATAAAATGATGATATTTTCCCAATGTACATTTCCATGAATCTATGTAATTCCCAACGGAAATAAACATAATACTCTTACAGGTCTTCAATTAATTACCTACTTAAAGTACAAAGCTCTATATAGCTCAGCATATAGAGAAGCATTAAAGCTTATAGTTATTCAGATCTTTGCTCTAAATAGCATTTACTTATTGAACGAATATTCAGTTTTGAACATATATTTCAGTCTTTGTAGGGAGCGTTTTTAATCATGCGAATGTCATGTAAATGTTTTATGATAGAAAGCATCTGACTATCAAGTTTTCACTTCGCTTACTACATTTGAATGATTTCAACTAAAATGTAGTACGTTCCTATCCTTAAATAAAGGACAAAATCAGAAGTAAGGTAATCCAGGTACAGCATATTTTCAAGACTTTTTGGACAACCCTCGAATGAGTCAATAAACACATGTATGTACAATGTTCATGTCTCAGATGGAATAATATAGATTAACAATTTGGTAAAAGGGTAAAGATGGAAGGGATTTGGTGCAAGGCGTTCATTAAAGTGATAATTTTCTCAAATTAATGCTAGGATACAGTGATTAAACACACCATAATAGTAATGTATGCACATCTGGTCACTCATAAGAGTCGAGACTAATCCATTAAGCCTCTGCTCAAATTGCCGTCCGGGAGTTCAATTCAACGTCACTTACATGTTCTTCTAAACTCCAATCAAAAATATACACAACATGCTTGTTCACCTCATGTTCTACAAATAAGCCAATACGCGATAAATTTTTAGTTTCGTTCAGTTTAGTTACCTCACGTTTGAAGAGTTCTCATGAGAGGTACAACTTCGTCTTCATCCGGGTTCTTTCCCATTGGATTACACAGGAGTGCGATTTTCACTAGGTCATATTCTACTTTTCATGAAAATAATAAAGTAGTTGATCAACTATTGTAATCTTTATTGTACACACGAAAAAAGTATGAGACCAAAGTAAACTCTTCAAATGACAGGGTAATGCGACTCTTCAAAATGAAGGTTTATGTCGAGGTGCCATTACTGCAACAATAACAATAATCAACAAAGTCAGCCTGATAAATTATCATTTCATGCTCAGCAAACGTTAATCAAAAGTCACTTTCCCAAAGCAATAATGTAGTTAGAAGCATAATACAGACAATGCACTGTAGCGCCCATCTCAGAGGCTCTGCAGTTCAAGAGTAACAACCGGCAAAAATCCATTAATTCGAGTTTTCCACAAACTATGATGTAAATCTATTCAAAGTATTCAAAGTAAAACAAGTTTATGAATAATGTTCCAGTCAATACAGCTCCACAATGTAACATATTAATTACGTATTATTTATGCAATCGGGTTATGTAGGAACAGAGTTGATCTTTTATCTTTTTTGATTTTAGAGTCCATATGGATTACCAAAAGTGGCTATCAAACCACTTCGTTCAGAACAAAATAATTGTTAAATGGGACAATAATGTATAAACAAATGATAAAACAATAACTTCCATTGAATAATGCTATCAATTACTAAAAATAAACTTCTAAATTAAAACAATATAACAGATCTAGAATAAACCATTTGGTGGATAACTATCATGCATTGACTATCCATATTTGGTTATATTTGCAGACGATGTCGCTGATGTGCAAAAGACAGTGTCAGTTCTAATAGATGGCGATGAAACAATGATGGATGTCATCGATCTCAATACAGATGAGGTAAGTTTCAATTCAATTTTCATTTAGTGTTTAACCTAACTTCAGCCCGATTTGCTAAAAGTCAAAATATTTAAAATAGAAGGAAGAAATATTGTTGAAATACTTCACACGGGTGTCTGAAAACCCGAAGTGGTTTATAAACAACATGTCTATATTTAACTTATATCATGATAAAAAGTTGCAATGAAATAAAATAAATATATGTAATTAGTTTTTTTTAGTTCTTTGCAAACTTTAAGCACACGTGGCCATGGCAAACTTATTTGCGTTCCCATACGTATACCCTGGAGCACTACAGTATCCCCAAAAATTGACTGTTGTTTTTAATAATTAGTTCGAATATTTTTCAGGAATATGCTTCATATTCAGACGTAGATGCTTATGTTGTGGTGTATTCTATAACAGACCGGAAGTCATATCAGCACGCCATTGACCTCCTCCATGAGATACGGATGGAAGCGGGACTTGAAACTGCTATAATCCTTGTTGGCAACAAAAGTGATATAGTCCGGCAAAGACAAATAGCTATAGAAGGTAATACACACAGAGTAATTAATATCCCGGGATTACTCGACGGTGCCTTTATATTTTGATGCGGTTCAGTGTAACACTGGATGAAACACATGGATTGACTTGTGTAAAAATCATAAGAGTAGCACCTCGAATCAAAATATAGCCAAAGTTTTACCAAAGGTTTGTGAATCTAGAAGAGTATCATCATTATAGGCCTTGATGACCTGCAAATTGACGAATAAATACAAAAAATGACGACTGTTATTGTTTTAATCGTCAATTAACACAAAACAGAACAATTTTGGTTTGACTTTGTGATTTCAGCGGATTTTATTCCTCAATGTTTCTTACATTTTGCGTTAGAATTATCCTAATAAACGTATATACAAGTTCGACATATCTCAAATTGTCAATGTATTTTTTTGAACTAAATAGGGTTGGGGGGGGGTGAGGTACAAATTCTATGATCCAACTTACTATGCAATAATGTGATTATATTCAAGTGCACATGTGTGTTGACCGGTTCCCCTCCTTGAATATTAAAATTGATTTATTACATAAATTTATTATTATAAATAAAAATTAAAGATTTTACTTAATGATTTGCTTTAAAAAACCAAAACATGGCCGTAATATTTGATAATTCTGTGTTTTAGAAGGGAAATCAACTGCTCAGACCTACGATTGTAAATTCATCGAAACCTCCGCCGTACTCAATCACCAAATTGATGATCTCCTAGCGGGAATAGTGAAACAAATCAGACTCAAACGGAAAAAAGACGGTAGAAAGAAAAGAGGAGGATGCCATAAGGTGGCGAAAGGTCTCATTGATAAACTGCTTTTGAAAAGCACACACGTCTCAAAATCATGTGACAATCTATTTGTGCTGTGATGTAAGATATTTACCTTGACGTCATACTCTACGTGTTTTGACGTCATCATTTTCTGCTGTGATGTCTTACTTGTATAACAACAGTGCTCATGTAAAAATGTACTATAGAAACTACACGATGTCAGTAAAACTGACAAAATGCACGGAGGGGACCTTCACCTTACAATGATTTACGTATTTCAAAAAATCTACAAATCTACAGGTATTATTATAAGTATTTATTAAAGTTCCTGTATACCATGACTGCTTCTTGTGCTTGGATCATTGCGAAAAGTGTAACTTCCATTCTGCACAATCGTCTCCTATATATTTTTACATTAAGTAGAGTATCACGCATTTTGCCATTTAGAAACGCAATGGAAAAATGGTAGACACTTTATAAGTACGAAATGAAGACAGAGAGTCAACTTTCCCAATTGGTCACTTGATCAGTGAACTGGGCCTGCGTAGATATTGCAACTGGATTTGAACGCAGTGTTTACCCTTTTGTGTGACAAAGGATGTTTAATTGGAATACACAATGTATATCTTGATGCCTGAGTCGCTTTTGCTCCGGCGCCTGGCCGATTGAGTATTTTGTTCAAAGGAGGAGGGAAAGTATCGCAACAGATTTCGGACAGTCATATGTTGGATTTTGGCTATTTTCTGAGGATTTAAACAAGTGCATATGTTAGACCAATACATGACCTCCAAGAAAAGCACTCTTAAGGATGATAGAATAATTTCAACTTTGAAACATGAAAGATGTAAGCAACCCACCCACATGTTTTTCTGAAATGTTTCCTGCTTTTCAACCCCTTCTACCCCTGCTTTTTAATTTTTCTTGCATCAATATGCTGTGTTTTGACACACAGGTAACCCCTTTAAAGGAATAAGTGATTCCTTTGGGGTCTTTAAAAATACCCATTATTGGTGACCAAAGCTAGCTGAAACCAACGGATCGCATGAGTTTTCCCTATGGGAAAAATACTTGGGAGATATTGTTTTCCACTTTATTCCTTTTAGATTTCCTTCCTGTCCGAAATCTGTTGCGATACTTTCCCTCCTCCTTTGTATTCAGTTTTGAAGAAAAATCTCAATTGACCTGACGCCGGTCGATGAATCAGATCGCATGTGACCAGGGCACAAGACTAAGACCGCGAATAGTCTATTTCTTAAATATAAAAGGAATTTAAAAGCAACGAAAGTTATGCTAAAAGCACACATTTCATACTTATTTTTATGATGTCCTCAGATAATATATTGATGTTTGACGATTTTTTTGTTGCTGTCTAATTTTTTCATACACGATCAGATATATTACCTAGATACAGTCGAATAAATGACATCTCAGATCGTTATGTTTATTAACAATATTACAAATATTCTACAGCCTCTTTACCACGCTGGAACTTCAGTTTGACAAATTCATTTCAGATCCCAGTGTCGTTCTCATAACGCCATTTACTGTATTCCAAACATTTTACAAAAATTACTTTTAACATTCAGAGAATGCATAGATATTGAAAAACTAGGCGTGTTAAGAACTCCTGGGGTTAAACTTCAATTTTTAAATGCTCGTAAGAAAATACACTTACAATTACTTGTAAATCAATACCATAGATTTGTATTTTATGAAATGATTTTAAAACCACAAGGTTTTGTAGGTACAATTAGCTCAGTGTCAAATCTTTCAATTTAAAACCCAGTAAACAGACATTCTTGGGTTTCTGTTGGCAACTCGGGTTTTAAATCAATTTCGTGAGACTGAACATTGGACCATATTGGACCATATTGTACCATAATCGAACATAGAGGGTAACAATGCATTAATGCATTACGGTAAGATGGGGCAACTAAAATCAAAATAGCCCAATGACAAAAAAAGTGTAAAGTTTAAAATCATATAAAAAGCCTTATATGCCCTCTTGGCAATACGTCAAGTGTGCGGCTGCATGTTCAATCAAAGATGGGAACTTTTTGTTTATTGGCTTGATTTGTATAACTTGAATGGCATACTATGTGAAAAACATGTTAATGTATACGTACATATTGTGAGTAACCGTGATATCGTGGTTGATAAAGGAAGCAACCAGGGTTTAAAGAATCCTAACATTGTATCAATGGAGATTTGGCCTACATTCTTTAGAAACGTTGAAGAAGATAATAAGCTTTCATTTAGTGAGATTTTAAAGATATAGAAATTCAGCTCCCGATTAAAGAATGGATCTAATCCGTAACGACATTCCATGAAAACTTATCAAAGATAAAAATAAAACCCATGCATTTTCAAAGTTTGCAACATGTGTATCATAAAAATATTCTCTGTTTGATAGGCTGTATGTTTATTATTACTGTATCTACAGATCTAGTCAACTTTAAACTGCTGTAAAGTATGTCTATTTATAATTTATAGATAGACAATTCATAGTCGGGTTACACCCCCCCCCATAACTTTAGCACCCGAATGTTCCCTTTTTGATCACTTATAAAAGTCAATTTGTATTTGACGATTTAAGATAGTTCATCGAAGTCATACATTTCTAGAATTAAGATTTAACCACTGACAGGCTTTGAAATGCAGTCCAAATAGAACCCGGATGCCAGACTTATGGAGGGGAGATCATATTTGGATATTATTTTTCCTATTTTACAGTCTATGATGGCTCGTATTTATATTAAGATAATATAAGTTAAGCGATATGTAATCTTGATTCCTTAATACAAATACTTGATATTTATCTTAGAATCAAATTCAAATTGCAAACTGCTAATTGCAACACGGCTTCGAGTGACGTCACTGTAACCACTGCTTTTTTGAAACTCTGTTGCAAATTAAAGGATTGCGCATGCGCAACAGTAAATGTAAATGAAGTCAAGCGAATGCGTATATTTGCGTTGGTTCAAATATGGTGGTGTATCATTTATTCGAACATAACTGTATTCACGACTTCTATAAACTGTGAACCAAGTCAATGCTTCAGCTGGGTTATATTCGAGATCAATGCCCCAGCTCTGTACTAGTGTTTCGTTCAGTGCAATCAAAGGTCAGTTCAGGCTGTTCCTTTCTTTTCGCAAAATTTAATTTTAATATGGATATCCGCTGTGATTTTTTGTTTCTGGGCAATAAAGAATTAATTTCAATAATTATCAATGTAGTAGATATATGCGTGAAACCAATAAAATAGGCCGAAATGTCAATTAAAAAGTCGGGGTCAGGAGGTAAGTAGACAAATTGGAACAGCCAAAGGCTCAACCGGAAGTAGAAATGAAAAAAAGTGGAAATGAACATCGAAATTGACGATTTTGCATTATTCTGGTGAGTTTTCATGTTCGAATCGTAATATAGACCTCAGAGCAGAGCTACCATTTTCGAATACACCCCTTAGGGCTAGGCACATAAGCTTCGAACCCCTCACTCCCTTCGGTACAGAAAACGTTTGTGCCTAGCCCAGCGGGGTGTATTCGAAAATAGTAGCCCTGCTCTTCGGTCTGTATTTCTTAATTATGACCATTTCCATATTCATTTTAGAAACAAATTTAAAATTGCAATTGCTATCTTTCATGGAAATAAAGCGACTATCACGGTTATTATGGATTTGATATTAATCAGATATATCTTGCATTAAATGCAGAATTAGAGATAGAGTGGTAACAACATTGAAAGCAACATGTACAAAATACATGCCAAAATAATAAATAATATTTGTGTGACTGTTACATAAGAAAATAGATATGACAAGGAATAATAACGAGCCAAAAATATTGTTGTATAGCTTAATCATTCACTTAAGCTACGTTCACACCAACGGCGCTTTGATGGCGCTTTAATTCGACGTGCAAAGCCGCTTTGGTGTGAACGTAACTTTATGGAATGATTGCGCACGAGATGTGATTCTGCCTTTTAAACTATTGGTTCGTTTCAAGATCCATTTTTAAATTACCAATATGTATTTCCTTATATATTTTACTTATGTTGTGTATCTTTAATTCTAATGTGATAATTCTCGAGTCTTTGATATACTTATTCATAAAAAACTGTTGAAATGATGAATTTGTTATGTTATCTTCAGTTGTTGAGGTGTGTGTGTGTGGGGGGGGGGGTTACCATTGTCGAGATAATCTCCCGACTGGAGACCAATTTAGAGCGTTTAAGTGATTTGGACATTGGCAACGGGACAATTATATATAGTTTCAAACTTTGTTGAAATAAGATATCTACAGACGCAGTTTACCATAGATTTCTCTCCCGGACAATCAAAAGTTTAAAGGGTCTTGATTCTACTCTTCGATCAATGGTAAAGGACCTTTTTAAATGTATGAACAACGGTAAATTATCGATATTGAAATCAGCTTCTCAAAAGATAATTCTAAGTGAGGTAAATGCAATGTGGAATTATGTGCACTTAAGGTGTCACTTAACTTATGTCAACTATGTCACTCCCGTAGAACTATAGGTGTTAATAATTTTTCTAAACTTAATTAATACATCATTATTAACCTGAATATCCAAACACCTCACTAATCTGAACACCTCACTAATCTGAACACCTCACTAATCTGAACACCTCACTAATCTGAACACCTCACTAATCTGAACACCTCACTTATCTGAACACCTCACTTATCTGAACACCTCTCTATGTGAACATTGTCCCCGGTCCCAATTTTGCTATTTCCATTGACGCACATGGCTAAACTTTGAAATATTAACACCTACTACTTGTACGATAGTAATCTTAATACTTTTAGGTGGTCTCACTGGCGTTTAGATTAGAAATTTTTCAAAGCAATTTTTATTTAATTTTTATGTTACCAATATGTTAAGACAATTATAATTTATTAATTGTATTTTTCACTGTAATTTTATATCATGGCGAATGTTTTCTGACAAGTATTTTACAGTACTCGTTTAGTACACTGCCCTGCACAAGTATGTAAATATTCCTAAATATAGTAAAGTCCCTATTTGACAACGTGTTATTTAGACTTTTTACACTCCACTCCATGAGTTCAATCGTTTGTCCCCTTTTGGCATAACTCATTAAAGTCTGCTAAAGTATGTATGGTGATTTAATTTTTTTACAATTTGTACGATAAACATATCTGAAAAGAATTAATAAAAGAGCAACATTTAGATTCAAACATTATCAGGCTTTAGTATTAATTTAAATTAATGTTAAGTTTGGGTGGGGAGTTTTGTTATATTGTGATCCGAAAAGTCATAAACATCCGACTTGATGTATTTGAGAAAAAAGTGAAAATCAAATATAAACGGGGTTTGACAGGCTAACATTCGGGACATTCCGGTTTCCTCGCTTATGTAGGGGGTGTCCATTGTTTCGTAAACATGTACTTCACGCGTATGCCAGCTAGGTGCGGGCACAGTTAATCCATTTATAATACAGTTTTATCAGACCACGTTTACAAAAGGAATAATGAACTATAGTTATCCGATAAATTCAATAGTGTAGAATTGAATAATCGACAGGTACCCAATATGTTGAATAAACCCTATTGGAAACGCAAACACAGCAACCAAAGTATATCAGGAATATAACCATGAATTCGGAATAATGTATAAGAACAAGTCAGAAGTTTAGTGAAGACTATAGAATATGGATTTAGACTATTGAGGTGAACTATCATCGATACATTGATGTAGATACGTCAAACACATTGTATATATGAATGGACGATTTACTGACAAATGCAGCATGTTAACAACAAATAGTTAGACTTGTTGATGGATATCTATCCCATCGTATACCTGTAATGGATACCGTCAGTACTACGCCGTACGAAAAGGCGACAGGAACTACAACGAAGAAGACACGAAAAGACCCTGCTCAGAACAAACCTGATACGGAACCAAAAAGAAGTGACTCTGAATTGTCGTATAGAGAGAAACACAAAAAGAAAAGAAGCGGTTTTAATTTTATTTACACTGGCACGGACAAGCGATCCTTCGAAAAACAACGCGAGAGTGTGGATAGATTGAGCCAATGTAAAAAAGCTCCCCCCGATTCTAACAGAGTTTTGACCAGTGATATAAATGACATTAAAGGATTAACTGCTAGTTTTCAGTGGACAGCTAACGGGCATCTAGGGCAAGGATTCATACATTAATCATTTCTACATTTATTCAAAAACAGTTTCGTTCAGTGCGTCTTTCCACTGCCGATCATTGATTCTATATAGCCCAGGGCCAGTTTACATCGACCGACATGCCTCGCCCAGTTAAGTTCAAAGAAGATGTGCTTACATCTGTGCCTCTGTACAGTTCAAGAAAGGATGACGATGACACAGATCCAGACTCTGCCAATGCAAGATGGAACAAAATTCCGATTTCGACAGTGTGGGCAAAATACAAAATGCAACCAGGCCAAATTCGTGTAATAGACGGAGACTATTTCTACACGGTTGATAATGGCGAAGACGGTGAGACAATCGTGCGTCACGTCAGTAAACAAACGAGCACTAGTCAAGCAAAGCTAGCTCCGTGGATACGAAAACGATGGGATGATGACAAAAACGATTTATCTTATTTCACTAAATTAAAAATCCAGAGATATTCTAAAAAACTGCCATTCAAAACTTTGCCTCCTTCTAAAGTGAAGAAAGTTTCAAATAGGTTAACTGCTCATACTTTCACAAGCTATGGAAAGACTGTAGACTGGCCGGATTACGCTCTAGGCGCTGTAGAACGAGGAAACAAACATGGCCACCAAAGATGTAAAACGTCCCCGGATGTCGAGGAATCAGTGAATCTCCCGACAGTGATGAGCCGTTTGAGAGCTGTAAGACAAAGAACACTAAGAGAAGGGGAATCCCCGTATAGAATCATGACGTCACAAGGTACACGCCCATACCCTGCCATGATCTCAAGGCTTGATAAACGTAATCGTGCTTATAGCGCCCCGTGTAGCTTCTTGTCTTCGAACTCAGGCAGGGAAAGTCTTTTGAGTATTTTAACTGATACCAAACCTACCAAATCTGGGATTGTGAGACCAAAAGAAACAAATAAAATAACTCGTAAATATGGTTCCCGGCAAGCTGATGACGCTGATGTGAGCGATGGTTATTCTGATGAATTTGATGATGACTTTGAACCGGATACAGATGAGGATGGTGATGGTTATGAGAGTATTGATATTTTAAGTGATGATGGTTCTTCATCGCTAACATCGGAGGTACAAGGTAATCGGCGTTTGTCTAGTAATAGCGACGTAAGCTACAAGACAAAAAACATCGAAAAAGAACATACGTGTGATACCAGTATAAATGAGCGAGAAGAAAGAAAAAAAGAAGAGAAAAATGTAGATAATTATATTATTGATAAGGCAATAGACGCCGTATCTGAAAATAATAAACCGGACACATCAGAGGAAAGCTTACATTCCATAAAAACGCACTCTCTACCAACACTTTCAAAATCAGGTGAAACTAAGTCTGACTCGTCATCGATATCCCCATCGAAAAGTGGACTCAACAAAAAAACTAAACCGAAGAACAAGCCGATGGGAAATACGAAACAAACAGAGTCTCCATATGGAAATTTAAAACCTCCGCCAGTAAGGGGCAAACCTGAAAAGAAAAAGACTCAGCCGAAAGATGGCACCAGTGCCGCACTTGACAGCGTTCCAAAGAAAACATCGCTCCCTCCAGTGCAACAGCGGGTACAAGAACAAAAGATAAGAAGTCGACCTAGTAGTTACAAATCCGACGTGTCGATTACATCATCAGTGACGTCATCGAAACTTGCTAACGAAGCCGTCGCATCCGCTCTGAAATATGGAATGAACGCACTTGGAAAAAGCGGACAAAAATCCCGGGAAGGCTCAGCCAGTCGAAGAAAGACTTCAGCTCAATTAAAACCTAAACCAAATGGATTATTAAAAGCCACCCCAAATAGTATTCACAGTTCACGCAGTTCTCTAACCGAAGTGACGTCACGTGCTAGCTCACCAAGAGGGGCTGATGACGACAGTGATGTGGCGAGTGACAGCAGCGACGTTGATGCAGTCCCTGTGAACGCTGAGAACACTAACAACACCATAGGCAGAAGTACAATAGATGTACATGAAAGCGAAAGGTCTGAAAAAGTGAATAATAACGCTACGCCAAGTCTTACATCAAGAACAGGATCGGAGATGTCAGTCACGTCTTCTGTTCTTGCCAATAACGCCGTATCCGCAGCTTTGAAATTCGGGATAGATCAGCTAGCAAGCAACAACGAAGGACCCTTCCAAGAAGAAGAATCAGAACCCGTAGAGAAAGGAACAAATGAAGTTGAGGACCATGAAAGCATTAATGTAAACGATGAGTCTAAAAGGACAGATAATAACGCTACGCCAAGTCTGACGTCACGAACGGGATCCGCGATATCAGTCACGTCATCTGTTCTCGCCAATAAAGCTGTATCCGCAGCTTTGAAACACGGCTTAGAACAGCTTAATACAATCACCAAACAGGATTCTCTCCAGGAAGAAGAACGAGAAAGAACAAGGGAAAATGATGTACAGGAGAATCTGAACTTGGACAATAGCACTAAACAAGAATCAGTTGAGCTTAAGGATGATGCATCAGAGAGTGTGAAGAGAAACACAACGCCGAGTTTAACTTCAAGAACGGGATCGGAGGTATCAGTCACATCATCTATACTTGCCAATCATGCTGTATCTTCAGCTTTGAAATACGGTTTAGAACAGCTGAACACAAGTAACACTCACGAAGCCCTTGAGGAGGAACCAACGGGATTCCAAGGTGAAAAATCAAAAAGTAAGACGGGAAGTACTTTTTTGACAGAGCAGGATAATTCTAGTCAAAATAGTCATCACCTTAGGAGTAAAGAAAGTGATAATACCGTTGATGATTTTGTCCAAATAGAGAAAGATAAACCTAACAATCAGACTGCAGTTCCAACAAAAAGAGTGGCAACATCAGATGACATTACAGAAAATGATGTTATTAATGATACTCCAAAGCCATACGATGAAGACTCTGATCCTAATATTAATAACAAACGTGAATCAATCAAACCAAGAATCTCAATCATCGATGACAATGACAACGAAATTAACATAAACAGCGATGCTTCCAATGACAATACCCCGATAGATAATAATTCTGAGAATGAAAAACTAGATTCGCTTTGGACGGACTCAAACATTGACCTAGATTCCAGCCTGACTAAACGACCCCCATCGGGACGGGGTAAACGACCGGGACTAGGGAGAAAATATTCCACAAACAGCAGCCTGAATCTCCTCAGTGGCGAAGAGACTGATGATGCTACTCCTAAGAGTCCTATACCATGGACGAATAGATCAACAACGCCAGTGCTGGTTATGAATAATAACAATGAAGCGGTAGTTCTCTGAACAGCTGTGGTATTCTGAACAATGAAGGGGTTGTGCTTAGAACAGCTGTGGTATTCTGAACAATGAAGCTGTTGTATTCTGAACACCGATGCTCTTATATGAACGATGAAATCTATTACAATTTGAACAATGATTGTGTTGCACTTTGAAAAATCAAACTGTTGGCTTAATTAGAATCAATGAATTTGCATTCTCCGAGCGCAGGGCGAACATACGTATATATCTCATAGCTCTGCGGTCGGTAGATGTGAATTTTAGGTCTACGAGAAAATAAAACTTAATTAAAAGCATTTTAATATAAACAAGGATGTTAAAACACTACAGTTGATATTTTGCTATAGAAAAGGAGCAAACGGAATTCATTTCACAATTAATGAATAAAGAATCATATATCATTCTTTATCCCATATTTGGACGTGTTACAGGTACATAAAGCCGGTTTGTAAAAACCTATATTTTCATCAGCGGGCAGATATAGCTTTACGTTCCGCTCCGAGCGAGCAGATATAGTATATCTGCCCGCTACGTCATAATCGCTGTTCCCATATTGGTTCGTTTTTGTAACGTTCGCATACTGTAAACGACAATGGAGAAAAACGCAGACAATCGCGATCTGTTTGATGCTTAAAGAAGGGAAGGAGCAGTATGCCCCGTTGATATCAAAAACCGGCTACGGACAAGAATACAAAACTGGACATGAATATTTCAAAATAATTCCACGTTTCGTTGCAAAGTTTCTGAATTGTGGCCAATTGGAGAATGTGATTGGTATGGGATAAACAGATCATCCTATAGTCGGTTCAGGATATTTTGATTATCCCTTGGCCAATATAAGATATCTACCCTCGGGACATACGGCCCTCGGGCAGATATATTATATTGGCCTCGGGATAATCCCAATATCCTGAACCTCATATAAGATAATCTCTGTTTATCCTATGCCAAGTATAGTTTTAGGGAGATAAGTTGGTAAGATATAACTCATATCCTGATTTTGAGGTTTCCATATCCAGAACCTCCATACCTCCCGCCATATCTCCCGCTTCGGTGCATATCTTCCCGCTTCGGTGCATATCTTCCCGCTTCCGGTAAGTAGTGGAAATGCAATAAAATGACTATGCATATGAATGATTTGTTTATTTTTACACCTTGTACTATCGAAATGGTCATATGCCCCTGAAAACTCTACTTGGTATAGGATAAAGCAGTTATGTACGGTCGGATTGGATATTGGGTTCATCCCTCGTGAGATATGCACATCTACATTCGGTCCCTACGGTCCCTCAGGTAGATATGCACATCTCCCTCTGGATAAACCCATATCCAAAACCTCCCAGTACATAACCCTTATATATTGGAAATAAAGCATGGGTGTATGTATTAACCCATATACATACTACACGAAGGCTGGTCAGTGGCGTAACGTGGGTATTTTGTAACTGTACGCCTCGAGATAACGATGCAAACAAGTTTTGAGGGGGTTGGAGGGGGGGGGGGTCCCCCAAAAATTGAAAAAGAGATTGCATTTGAAGCGTTCTGCGGCGTTTTAAAATAAGAAAATCCGACTTATACGGACCAATAATATGTAAATTATTGGCCATTTTTTCAGAATGTTCAATATTTTTAAAGTGGGGGCCATATAACAAAGATAATTTAATTGAATCCACCAATTCTATTCAATTCGAATAAAGAGTTTCCATCAGCAAAGTATTAATGGACATTGATTATATCAGCTTTTCTACCGCTACCCATTTCTACGCACACTGTACATAATGGCTGAGTATATCGTCCCTCCACTATTAAAAGTTCTATGTCCACTTGTACCATATTTGAGAAAACAGAGAACAAACATTTAGGTTCCTCTATCTTTGTGATACAGTAAGTAGAATGTTGACATAAATGCTAAGATGAATCATTCCTGATCAGAATGGCAAGAAATGTCAATGTTTAAGGCTACTTTTTAAAGAAAATAGATTTGGAGACCTTTTGCGTCTGTAACACAACAATGAGTTTAAATGATGGAGATAGAACCTTTTATTACCCTGGAATACAGTGCTTGTCAATTAGATAAAGCTATATTTACAGAAGCAAGCCATACTATTGCTAAAGGTACGTTCACACCAACGGCGAATGCCACGCTTTAAATCGGCGAGCAAAGCGCCGTCATTTTTGTCATTTTTCTTCATACCAACGGCGCTTTGATGGCGCTTTAAAGCGGCTTGTAAAGCGGCACCAAAGCGTAACAAAGTTTGATTAAAGCGTCGGGGTCGTAATAGGTCGTGGAAAAGCTCAGAGTAAAACGGGATATTCGGCAAGAGCGCCAAAAAATTTTAAACTCTTAAAAAATTTTGGGCGCTCTGTTACGAATCGATTAAGCGCCGAGAGCGTATCAAAGCTTAACAAACCGTAACAAAGCTCAGAAAAACTTGATCCAAAGCGTAGGAAAGCTTAACATAGCTCTAAAAGGTTCCTCACGCTTTGATCCCGCTTTGATCAGGCTTTGTTACGCTTGAAATCACGCTTTGAAAAGCTTTGATAAGCATTATTACGCTTTGATGCGATTATGACGCTTTAAATCAGGCTCTGATACGATTGCAAAACTCTGTTGTGCATTGTTACGCTCTGTTAAGCTCTGTCACGCATTGGAAAATGTCGAGATCGCCGATTCCATGCCGCTTTTGATCCAATGACTATATAAAGATGCAGTAGATCCATAAAACCATTGCATCTTTGACTCGAGAACACGATGGCAGAACAACGAGATCCAGAAATTCCAGATGGACCAGAGCATGACCTATCTGAAGAAGACATGACGTTTGTCGCACGGCGTGATATAGCGTGTGAAAACTTTCAAGCGTAACAAAGCCTAGCAAAGCGTTTCAATCCTTGATTAAAGCGTCTCAATTCGTTGAAAAGCTTGAGAGTCCCTCAGGAAAGTGTAACAAAGAGTGTCAGATATTGATGAAAGCGTCTGACCTCGTGTCAGATCTTCATGCAAGATCGTAGCAAATCTTGAGACATCTTAACGAAGCGTTTCAAGTGGTAACAGACCGTGAATAGACTGGGGTCCCCGCTTTGAACCAAGCTGTGTTAAGCTTTCCTACGCTTTGAGTCAAGCTTTGTTGAGCTTTGTTACGGTTTGTTAAGCTTTGATACGCTCTCGGCGCTTCAATCAATTCGTAACAGAGCGCCCAAATTTTTTAAACAGTTTATAGTACGTTCACACCAACGGCGCTTTGATGGCGCTTTAAAGCGGCTTGTAAAGCGGCACCAAAGCGTAACAAAGCTTAATTAAAGCGTCGGGGTCGTAATAGGTCGTAGAAAAGCTCGGGAGTAAAGCGGGATATTCGGCAAGAGCGCTAAAAAATTTAAACTGTTTAAGCGTTCGCACCAACGGCGCTTTGATGGCGCTTTAAAGCGGATTGTAAAGCGGCACCAAAGCGTAACAAAGCTTGATTAAAGCGTCGGGATCGTTATAGGTCGTAGAAAAGTTCGGAGTAAAGCGGGATATTCGGCAAGAGCGCCAAAAAATGTTAAACTGTTTAAAAATTTTGAGCGCTCTGTTACGAATTGATTGAAGCGCCGAGAGCGTATCAAAGCTTAACAAACCGTAACAAAGCTCAACAAATCTTGACTCAAAGCGTAGGAAATCTTAACACAGCTTGGTTCAAAGCGGGGACCCCAGTCTTTTCACGGTCTGTTACCACTTGACACGCTTCGTTAAGATGTCTCAAGATTTGCTACGATCTGGCATGAAGATCTGACACGAGGTCAGACGCTTTCATCAATATCTGACACTCTTTGTTACACTTTCCTGAGGGACTCTCAAGCTTTCCAACGAATTGAGACGCTTTAATCAAGGATTGAAACGCTTTGCTAGGCTTTGTTACGCTTGAAAGTTTTCACACGCTATATCACGCCGTGCGACAAACGTCATGTCTTCTTCAGATAGGTCATGCTCTGGTCCATCTGGAATTTCTGGATCTCGTTGTTCTGCCATCGTGTTCTCGAGTCAAAGATGCAATGGTTTTATGGATCTACTGCATCTTTATATAGTCATTGGATCAAAAGCGGCATGGAATCGACGATCTCGACATTTTCCAATGCGTGACAGAGCTTAACAGAGCGTAACAATGCACAACAGAGTTTTGCAATCGTATCAGAGCCTGATTTAAAGCGTCATAATCGCATCAAAGCGTAATAATGCTTATCAAAGCTTTTCAAAGCGTGATTTCAAGCGTAACAAAGCCTGATCAAAGCGGGATCAAAGCGTGAGGAACCTTTTAGAGCTATGTTAAGCTTTCCTACGCTTTGGATCAAGTTTTTCTGAGCTTTGTTACGGTTTGTTAAGCTTTGATACGCTCTCGGCGCTTAATCGATTCGTAACAGAGCGCCCAAAATTTTTTAAGAGTTTAAAATTTTTTGGCGCTCTTGCCGAATATCCCGTTTTACTCTGAGCTTTTCTACGACCTATTACGACCCCGACGCTTTAATCAAACTTTGTTACGCTTTGGTGCCGCTTTACAAGCCGCTTTAAAGCGCCATCAAAGCGCCGTTGGTATGAAGAAAAATGACAAAAATGACGGCGCTTTGCTCGCCGATTTAAAGCGTGGCATTCGCCGTTGGTGTGAACGTACCTTTAACATTTTTTGGCGCTCTTGCCGAATATCCCGCTTTACTCCGAACTTTTCTACGACCTATTACGATCCCGACGCTTTAATCAAGCTTTGTTACGCTTTGGTGCCGCTGTACAATCCGCTTTAAAGCGCCATCAAAGCGCCGTTGGTGCGAACGCATAAACAGTTTAAATTTTTTAGCGCTCTTGCCGAATATCCCGCTTTACTCCCGAGCTTTTCTACGACCTATTACGACCCCGACGCTTTAATTAAGCTTTGTTACGCTTTGGTGCCGCTTTACAAGCCGCTTTAAAGCGCCATCAAAGCGCCGTTGGTGTGAACGTACCATAAAGGTACGTTCACACCAACGGCGAATGCCACGCTTTAAATCGGCGAGCAAAGCGCCGTCATTTTTGTCATTTTTCTTCATACCAACGGCGCTTTGATGGCGCTTTAAAGCGGCTTGTAAAGCGGCACCAAAGCGTAACAAAGTTTGATTAAAGCGTCGGGGTCGTAATAGGTCGTAGAAAAGCTCAGAGTTAAACGGGATATTCGGCAAGAGCGCCAAAAAATTTTAAACTCTTAAAAAATTTTGGGCGCTCTGTTACGAATCGATTAAGCGCCGAGAGCGTATCAAAGCTTAACAAACCGTAACAAAGCTCAGAAAAACTTGATCCAAAGCGTAGGAAAGCTTAACATAGCTCTAAAAGGTTCCTCACGCTTTGATCCCGCTTTGATCAGGCTTTGTTACGCTTGAAATCACGCTTTGAAAAGCTTTGATAAGCATTATTACGCTTTGATGCGATTATGACGCTTTAAATCAGGCTCTGATACGATTGCAAAACTCTGTTGTGCATTGTTACGCTCTGTTAAGCTCTGTCACGCATTGGAAAATGTCGAGATCGCCGATTCCATGCCGCTTTTGATCCAATGACTATATAGATGCAGTAGATCCATAAAACCATTGCATCTTTGACTCGAGAACACGATGGCAGAACAACGAGATCCAGAAATTCCAGATGGACCAGAGCATGACCTATCTGAAGAAGACATGACGTTTGTCGCACGGCGTGATATAGCGTGTGAAAACTTTCAAGCGTAACAAAGCCTAGCAAAGCGTTTCAATCCTTGATTAAAGCGTCTCAATTCGTTGGAAAGCTTGAGAGTCCCTCAGGAAAGTGTAACAAAGAGTGTCAGATATTGATGAAAGCGTCTGACCTCGTGTCAGATCTTCATGCCAGATCGTAGCAAATCTTGAGACATCTTAACGAAGCGTGTCAAGTGGTAACAGACCGTGAATAGACTGGGGTCCCCGCTTTGAACCAAGCTGTGTTAAGCTTTCCTACGCTTTGAGTCAAGCTTTGTTGAGCTTTGTTACGGTTTGTTAAGCTTTGATACGCTCTCGGCGCTTCAATCAATTCGTAACAGAGCGCCCAAAATTGTTAAACAGTTTAACATTTTTTGGCGCTCTTGCCGAATATCCCGCTTTACTCCGAACTTTTCTACGACCTATTACGATCCCGACGCTTTAATCAAGCTTTGTTACGCTTTGGTGCCGCTTTACATTCCGCTTTAAAGCGCCATCAAAGCGCCGTTGGTGCGAACGCTTAAACAGTTTAAATTTTTTAGCGATCTTGCCGAATATCCCGCTTTACTCCCGAGCTTTTCTACGACCTATTACGACCCCGACGCTTTAATTAAGCTTTGTTACGCTTTGGTGCCGCTTTACAAGCCGCTTTAAAGCGCCATCAAAGCACCGTTGGTGTGAACGTACCATAAGGGTAACCTTTTATCTATCCAGATCGAACATGACAAGTCATTAAAACATGTTTACAAAATTCTGTTACAAAAGGTGGGTGCCTTTTTTGTGTAAAAACAAGGCGTGCCTGCAAAGGAATAGACCAAACATCTTGTATTATGCTCATAAAGGTGCATCTAATTCAGCTAGTAATCTAAAACTTCCTCTGAAGCTGCTCCATGGAGTAAAGTTTTACTGTGCAAAAGGACAAGTCAGAATTTATGCAGATAAAAAAGTTATGCAACATTATGTGGGTGGGTAGCATTTTGTCTGTCTCACACTAGATATACGTATCTACTTGTACGTTATGTCTATGTAACCCTACTATCACACCAAACTAGTTCTCACTACGTTCTCGAAAACGGGCTTCAACTGTGTACGAACGGACTGGACCTACTAAGAACCGTTTGGGATCTATTTACAAACTTCATCGAACGTACTCGAACGGGTAGGTCCTCTAGAACTTAGACGATGCTCAAAATGTTCTCGTGGTCGTCACGTTCTACAATTAGAACGAGTGACAACGTACTAACGACGAGCTGGACGTACTACGAACGGAACCGTCGTACTTCAATTCTACTAGGGACGTTTTAACAACGAGTTGAACTGTCTGAGGACGTGTTGAGAACGAGGTAGAACTAATTGCAAACGGGTTTAAACTGATTAAGAACGTATTTAGCACTGCTTATGAACGAGTTAGCAAAGATATAGCTATCACACCAAACAAGTTGCCACTGCGTTCTTCAAAACTGGTTTGAAACTGTGTGCGAACGGAATGAACGTAGCTGCAACTTTCTAAGGTCTATTTACGAACTTTATGAACGTTCTCAGACGGGAATGTGATTTTAGAATTTTGAATCGATTCAAAATTCGATGGCGACCATACCGTTCTGTAATCAGGTCATGTTGACCTTCTAGATTAAGGGACGCGTTCTACGACGTTGCACACCGACGTGGTGCGACCTGAACGAACTGCAAACGAGATGGACGTATTGAAGACTGTTTAAGAACGAAGAAGTTAATCATTTCAGACATATTTCCCGACCACAGTCAGATTGAGCCCGTTTTACGACGTTTTCGTAGGATTGGCAAGAACGGGTAAGAACTAGTTTGGTGTGATAGAGGGGTAAGTTTTTCTTTCTCTTCTTTTGTACATTTGCCCTTAAAGGGATTATTGGTACAATAAATAAATATATTATATAAATTGGTGCTATATTTGATTTTAAAAATATATTTGGAAATAAGAGACACTCATTTAAACTGATTTCTCTCACATGAAAATATGGTCTTGGACTTTTGATACGATCGGGAGTTATTTGGAGATATATTATGATTTACATACCTAGCGAAGCATTTGCATGGAAGTCAATGGGAAAGTTAGGGGTAATCAGGTAATATCAGTGGTAAAGCCCCCTATCATGACGTCATGTTTCATTTCGATCAAATTCCACTGTTTATCTTGAATCTAATAGTCGGTTTATAGTCAACGTTTTCATTGTTGGGTTCGATCCTGGGAGCCAATCTTCCTTGGTTGATCCTATTTTACACTGGTGATCCACTCGATTACGCTGGTTACCAAAACGGTTCGTTTTGGTAACAAAATGTCGGAACATCCGGAAGGTACGATTTTTCTCGTTTCCTTATTTTACACGTTGTAGGCAGAATTCCCACGACATTTTTTAACACAAACGTGTATCAGTATCATATGTTTAAGAAAGTGTACATATTTGCGAACAAATAGTTCAGAAGGCAACAGAATCGTCGATTTACTCCCTCACTTAAGTTACATAAACGGTTTGGGTTAAAAGTGCAGATCTTAACTGTTTTTCGAAAAACCGTTTATGTAACTTAAGTGAGGAAGTAAATCGACGATTCTGTTGTCCTCTGAGCTATTTTTTCGCAAACATGTACATTTCCTAAAACATATTATACTGATACACGTTGTGAGAAAAAACGTCGTGGGGATTCTGCCTACAACGCGTGAAATAAGGAAAAAAGAAAAATCGTGTCTTCGACGTTCCGACATTTTGTTACCAAAACGGTTTGTTTTGGTAACCAGCGTAATCGAGTGGATCACCAGTGATTTTAATAGGTGACGTGATTAACAAGTTACCTAACCAACAACAAAACAAGCATTTAGATTTTTCATTGTTGCTCCGTGGTATTTTCCATAAAAAGTGGATCAGTTATCTTCATAGCATATGGCTACGGATGTAGTCTTTGTATTTTTTTAGCGGATTCACTTGATTACCCTGTTACCAGGTATGTAGATTTGACTAGATCATGCGTATATCCATATTTGTGAAGTTTCGACGAAATTCTTACTAAACATCGATGCCTATATAAGCGACCCCACCCCCGACCTAAACCATGTCAGTACGATCTCAGGCTGGATCTTAGACATGATCTTGGCATGTTGTTGGAATGAATGTACGCATAAGACGCCATGGTCTACTCTCAAAATTTAGAGAAAAGTTGATTTTTTATATTGAATTGCCACATTTAGAAATACTAGATATTCTGAAATATGGCCAATCTGCCAATAATTTACATTTCATTGGTCCATATTAGTTGGAATTTCGTATTTAAAAATGCCTCAGAACGCGTCAAATACAATCTCATTTCTTGGGGGAGAACCCCCCTCCCAACCCCCCCCCCTTAAAGCCCGTTCTCTTTGCTTACTCGTTGCGTACACTCACAAAATACCCACACTGGTCAACTGATGTTGATCTAGTGAAAAGTTTTCTCCTTATAAATATAATGATAACACATAGAGCTTAATTCTCTTGGACATTTGGACTCAATATTATTAAAAAATTCTGATCTTTCTTTAATAAAGGAAGTCTATAATATGTGTGATATCATCTTTACATTTACAATCTCACATCTAAGAAATTACATCACTTTTATTCCATCGTTCATAATTAGATTCTAATCAGAAATTATTTGTCCTGGCCAAAAACTCCAGAGATCCTGAAACCTGCTGCTTCGGATTCCTTCTCTTCTGATGTTAGGATGTCTGTTTTTGCAGCCACCCCACCATTTGTCTTATAGTCCATTTTCCCCTACGGCGACGTACAAGTATTTCAATAGCACTTTCTATAAAACATGCCCTGCTGATGCATATCCCAGATCGGCCAAATTAAAAGCCCAGTCCACCAGTCTCTGTTCTAAATGATCTGGGAGTATTGTCTTTCTGCCATGTGAGGCTCCAAATGCCTTGCGACCTGTCCCATAGTCATGAATTGTTGATTTTGGCACACCAATTAAATGTTTCACTAGTTTGGGCAAGTGACATGCTGGCCTTGTAACCCATACAGTAGCATGTTGAAGTCTAAACAAATGGTATCCTCTGTACGGCATACTAGTACCTGAAGTTTAAGTTTATATAACTTGGATATGATCTAGGCCTCTATGTAAAATAATTGATCTCTTGATGGCACCACCGATACATTCGGGTTGAATCTAATATTTAGACATATATTTTTCTCGTTAGTTTATCCATGGGCTTTTATCATCTACTTTTTAAAAATAGAAAACCTCCAGAGAGTGTCGTTAAATCTTAACTTTATGGACAATTCAGTAACATTGCAGCATACTCCTGATAAATACACATAGACCCAATTCGAAACGTCTCATTCAGCCCAATTGACAAGATATTATTGCGAACGTAGGAACGTTCGAATATTTAGCGTAGCTTTGCACGATTACCCGAGTTCGTTCTTCTAGTGCACACAGGAAGTGGGAATTTCAAAATTTTACAAACAGGTCGTATCAAATTCGGAATTTCATTTCAATGTATTTTGTCATATCTTTGCAATTCCAAGTACGATCAATTAAAATGTATGATATGGGACGCTTCTTGAAAATGTTCATAATTTCAAAAAAGGAAAAAATAATAGATATCTAAATGTAGTTGAAACGAAATAATTAACATACTAAAATTAGACTACTGCAATAGACTGCTTTGTAGGCTAGAATCTAAAAATGTCACTCGACTTTTTAATGATTTTGAAGTCATGTCTGCACTTCACAATTCAAAATCAACTCCTGAAGCAATTTGACACCACCTTCTTATTTTCCTCAATGACCTTTTATTGTTTCTGGAAACATATTCTCTAAAAACCAGGAAATAGGGTGATAAGCAGGGAAATTTTGTAGGGAATTTCAGTCACAAAAAAATACGAGTGACAACTTACACTTAACCTTTTGAATCGAGCTGATAATTTTAATCTTACATTCAAAATCCCGCCAAAGTTAGGTACGGCCCGATTACGTCAAAGTTGGTGCAATACTTCCGGAGGCATCCTGATATGGAAACTGACTTGTATTAAAATACACCCGAATTTTGGAAAGAAAATAAATCTTTATCATGATATGGTTTATTTTATGTCATTAACTTAAGCTTAATACTGGAAACATAGTTAGACAGACAACTTGCTCATGTAGCTCCTGAATATCTTGTAAAAAACTCTAATCTTTCTTAACCATGATTTTCGCTATTTCAACGCTATTTCACGTATAAACTGCATTCCGTTATATAACAAATAACAAAATCAAGGTCACTAACAGAGCGGTTGTCATGGTGATGACTGGACTCTACAGATTGAAATTGATACTTTGCCAGATTGACCCTTGCAATAAGTTTCTTTGAAAATATGTTATTTTAGTGATTTCGTATACTTTAGATGATTTTGTCGAAAACATTTTGCAAGCCTGAGACTCAATGCATTGTGTAATGACCATTCCTTTCATTCGTTGTTTGCCAAAATCAACACTCGATCTCGAGCAAATTCTGGAAAGCAACACCTGCAAGAAATGGTCATTCCTCAGTCCAGGGCTTAAATCCTTAAACATCTGAACATAAATGCATAGAATGCCAAAGTACGTAATAAATTATTCATACAATCATTTCATATTTTGCAGAAAAAGGTGGATACAGCAGCAAAAATCCTCTTTTGATGCACCATTTGTTTTTGATGGAACAGAATTGGGCGGCTAAACAAACAACACTTTGTGACAGCCTTACCTTAGGAAAACGTCACCTTACACAACTTATAAACGTATCAATTGCAGTATTTCCTATCATAATCAATCATGATTAAACGATATACTCTTGCGTCAATCAACGCATTGACCAACTCAAGGTACCTATTGACAAAATGGCGCATGTTAATTGCTGGAATGGCAATTCTAATCATCCTGATGTACCTGCAGAGACAAAATTGTAGCGATAACCTTGAGTTCTACAAGTCTTTGAAGTTTGAGGAGCACACACGGAGAACAGGCGAAATGGAAACTATAGAGAGAGACCAGGATTTGCAAATGGTGCGTGGGGATCACATTCGGACCATAAGCGAGGACGAAATGATTTTGGAAAAATACAAGAAGTACACTAGGACACATAATATAACTGTCACTATGTTTACTACATTTTCGGATCGTGAAGAGAAGAGATACGCTATACAAAATAATACTATCTTAAATTGGCTTCATCTGCAAAACGTCCATTTTAAACTAGTCCTTTTTTCAAAGAATAAAGCAACTGGGCATTACCATCTACAGCGCGTGGAGATATTCAAAAAGCGACTGCGTCAACGGGACACAAATAAGCAAACGCAAGAGGTAATACTACAGCCAGGTGCCCAATACTAGGGACCAAGTACGAAAGCATGATTTATCAGAGAAATTGCAGATGTAACTCGTCAAGCTACTACCAAAAACTGATCCGTTACGGTAACAAAATGGCGCGATCGTGGAGTGAAAAGTTCGACAACAAAATGGCGCGGTCGCGGAGTGAAAGGGTCGACAAGGGCATTTCATTTTGGTCATGATTTCAAGGGTTTTCAGATTAGTCACTACGTTTTTGGCAGAGAAAGGAAAAATCTTATGAGTTTTTCACTCTTATCATAGCTTATCGCAAACAATTTCAAATCTTGAATTATGACTATGAAGAGAGATATATCTTTTAGATCCATTCATTATCTTTAAGAAAACTAGAAAAACAATGATGATAAGTCAATCGCAATCAGAGATATAGCTAGCAATCAACCCACCAACATACTTATTTTAAAAGATGTTGACCTAATTTTCACAAAAATGCAATCATTTTTTCAATGTTAAATGCATAACTATTCTTTTTTGATGTATCAAATAGATCTTGAAAGATTTCAGTGTTCCCCATTGAAAAAACTCATGCTATCCATTGGTTTCAGCTCATTTTGATCATCCAAATTCAGTATCCTTAAAGTCCATGGAGAACTTTTCCTTTTAGAAAATGGGACATGTCTCAAAGCACATTACAATTATGCATTCGTCATTTTAATACAAGGTTTCATTCTTTGTTAAAATTAGATCAGCATTTTTGAAAAATTATGTCCATTGGTCCATTGCTCCTATAAAATCACTTAGTCTGATTAACTTTATTATCATCATACGTACTTTTCTTGAAGGGAATGACTGGTCTAAAAGATAAACCCGTGTTCATGATCAGAAAACATTTACAATTCGAGTAGAATTATCTGAAACTGTTTGCGACGACCGACATGCTCCTTTGTGGAGATAATTACGCATTTAGTGGTGTATTTCACACACGTCATGCGCACGCGTAATTGTATATAAAAGGAAAAGCGATTTTGCTTGATGACATACGCCCATCTTACACATCCGTTTAACACGCGTAAATAGGGAGTATAGGAACACGTTTTTAACTGAACCTGTGTTCGCGAGCGTGTAACATTTTTACCCCAGGGTAATATACAGGGTGTCAAAAAACAACGGCACCCCCTCTACAGCTAAAAGTACTTAATGTTACTTGGTATGTCATATCTCATCTTAAAGACAATTTAATTCTGGAGTTACCTGAGAAATTTCAGCTTAATATCATATAATTTTACAGATTTACAGCTGATTCTTAGTAGTTGTTATGACCACCAGTTGCTGCTCAAACAGCAGCTTATCGGGACGGATATGATTTCAATAAAAATTCAGATAAACGTGTAGCATTGCATAATCCTCTAAGCACTTTCCTCACATTCTTCAGAAATACATCCTAATTGTATTTTTTTCAAGAGGCTCTTTGTCCATCAGTTCCTATACTCTGTTCTTTAGAACTGAACCCATATGTTCAGAGCAGTTGAAATCTGGGCTAATTCTTTCATATTCCACTTTCTGAAGATTTGACCTTTAACCAGTAACAGAGAAGCAAACAAAGTACCAAAGAAGTAAACTTAAAAACAATGTAGCTTTTTTAATATAAAGTTTTAGAATTAAATTATCTTTCAAATGAGGTATGACACAATATGGAACATTCAGGACTTTTTGCTGTAGAGGGGGGTGCCGTTGTTTTTTGACACCCTGTACATCCATTACACGTCCTTTGAACGCCCGTCTTCTATTCCTGCATCTATAATATAACGATAAAACGCGTGTAAAGTGCAAAATCAGCCAACGTGCACGTTATTTCTCCAATTACAATGTATTGTCATTTCCCGAACGAACTATTGGGGCTTTGGCCGGCCATATCTAGCATGTGGCTGTCATATCTCGAACGAACTATTGGGCCTTTGGCCTGCCATATCTAGCATATGGCTGTCATATCTCGAACGAACTATTGGGCCTTTGGCCGGCCATATCTAGCATATGGCTGTCATATCTCGAACGAACTATTGGGCCTTTGGCCGGCCATATCTAGCATATGGCTGTCATATCTCGAACGAACTATTGGGCCTTTGGCCTGCCATATCTAGCATATGGCTGTCATATCTCGAACGAACTATTGGGCCTTTGGCCGGCCATATCTAGCATATGGCTGTCATATCTCGAACGAACTATTGGGCCTTTGGCCGGCCATATCTAGCATATGGCTGTCATATCTCGAACGAACTATTGGGCCTTTGGCCGGCCATATCTAGCATATGGCTGTCATATCTCGAACGAACTATTGGGCCTTTGGCCAGCCATATCTAGCATATGGCTGTCATATCTCGAACGAACTATTGGGCCTTTGGCCGGCCATATCTAGCATATGGCGTAAGCTTTTACCAACAGCAAAGTATTCGGTATAGATCAAACATCCCTCTCCGGTAAGGCTCTGTCGTGGTTACAAATTGTGTGAATTTAGAAATTTCGCCGCATACCAAGAAGGCATGCAGCCAATATTCTAACCCAATTTTCCGTTACCACAATAGACGAGATGCAAGTAGAAATGGTCTGATTTTCGCCATTTAATATTTAAAATTTAGTCAAAGTTGTATCATATTTAAAATCTACAATTAGACAAAATCACATCTAAAAATGGTTCTAAAGTTTGTTTATCAACTTTTATATTTCAGTTTTTGAAAATGTACCTTTTTGGCCGGGTAGATTCCTATGTTATAAAGTGAAATAGCTTTACTTGCATCGGACAGATATAGAACTTTATTTGCAATTATTACCACCTTGCAGGGCCTGTTCTAGGGGTTTTAGTACTAGTTGAGAAGGCATTTAAATTGCTATATTGACGTGAGCAATATTGTGTCGGGCGTTAATGACTTTAGTCGGGCAATAATGACATTATCCGCCCGGCTATGTTTCCCGGGAAAAGTGATATCGTTCAGTGCGTAAGATTTTCTATTTCAAATTTGCTATTTCAGCCCTGGGCATTAACGGTGGTAATAACAGTAATAACGTCATTTCTGAAATGACGTTATTGTACTATTGTAATTATCAAACTTAAAAACGTCGTGGAAAATTGATCAAATACATCCAATGAATATTGAAGTTAAGTGAACGTTTTCGGGCAATATTTCCATGTCATTTGACCTGAATGAGCCACTTGGTGGTGAAACTGGTAGCTAACTACTCGCATCTTGGTAATTTGGTTAGAATATTTCCGATATGTTGAAGAAATCTGAGAGTCTAATATGAAATACACTACCACTACCATGCACTAAGTTTGAATACATTACCAGTAATAATTTTACAATATCCAGACAAACTAGATACTAGATTTGCTTTATTAATTGTGTGGCCAAAACGACCATGCATGTCAATACAAATAAAAATCAGATAAACAATAATCATAGTTGAGCTAGAGAGGGCCGTTTGATCATAACGTAATGTTATATTAATTAGAAAAAGATGAAATACAAGGATATAAAGGACTACTTCGCAGACTCGAATGCATTATACAGATCGAAAAGTTATACAAAGAACAATGCTTATTACCAAACTTGGGATATTATTCCTTTGGATGATTATAGAAATTTGACAACTTATGGAAGACCAATCTTAAAACAGATGTACTTGGAGGTGCAGAAGCGTTATCATTCGGACCTTTATATGTACGTCAATGGAGACATTCTTTTTCATGCCGAATCACTCCTTCAGACGCTCTACGGAATAAAACAATTCGTAGACAACCCAAAAACTAAAAAGGACAAATGGCTGATATTTGGAGGGCGAAGGGAAGCACACTTTTACAACACAGACGAAAAGTTAACTCGTTTTCTTTATTTTGGCGACGATGCCGAAATTAAAGACGTATCCTTTAGGGCGCAAGTATTAAATCATAACGCCCTTGATTTCTTCATCTGCGGCAAAAATAGCTTTCCGTGGGTTGTTGTCCCAGACTTTGTCGTAAGTCTACTCTATTTCGATCACTGGCTCGTTCTCTATAGTAACAAGGTTGGCATAGAAACGTTCGATATAACAGACACATCACCAGCGGTGCATCAAAATGGAGTAAGCAAGGTGAAGGACTATAAATATGCCATGGCGGATGACCTTAACACGTTTCTATTCAAAAGCGCCATCGGTGTAAAGAAATGCACTTTTGATAATAACCAGGCGAAACTCGACTGCACGAAACAGAAGTCCACTCGTCTACGAGTGGGTGAAGAGGAAGCTATTGTCGTTATCGAAAACAGCCAGTTTAACACTATTGGAGACGTTGGTTGCATTTACCCATGTCCGCTTATGGCAGCAATTCTCGGGCCAATGGTTTAACAAGCTTGGCACCTGGAACGAAGCTACCCATGAAGTGGATGGGGCTATTGCCTCGCTGATATGTCATAAAACGATAAATTGTATTAGAAAGGATCAGGCGATTCAGAGAAAAACATGATGCAACCCCAAATGACATCTCAGACTTTATGATTGAAAACACAGTTGATGAATTGATATTATTTTGCTTTATGTATGTATTTTATTATGTATTTTGCTATATTTATGTAGATCTTATGAAAATGGTGGCATTCACATGTAAATAAATTTGAACTACAGTTCTATGGTTGCATTCCAATGTATTTCATGTATTTAGCCAGATCGGGAATGGTGGCATTACCATTTATATTAATTGGAACTAAGGTACATACTGACATAAAAATGGTTGCATTTCAATGTACAGCCATGGCCAATGGTGTCATTTCTATTAAAATTAAGTAATGACAAATGGTTGCATTCCAATCAATTCGAAAAGCCACGGTTATATCAGTTTTTAGAGTACACCTTCATATTAACGACCCTTTATAATATTTGAAGTCATGCTTACTACTAGTTTTGAACATGCTGCATTCATCATGTTAATTCAAGTTCAGCGCAGAATCAACCCCACAAAGTAGTGCACAACATAGTGCACAAAATGGCATATATCAATCAACCATCATTTGTTTTTGTTTGAGCGATATATAATTTTATTGAAGTGCCTGTCCAATGGTATGTCACAAGTCAGTAATATTGGGGATATTACAAATTAAAAGTAAAGGTGTACACCTTTTTGGAACACTCTGTAAACTGTATCTACATTTTTGTTCATCATTTCACATTTCGAATAGTATAACCATAACACAAATATAAAAACTATTTACTGCAATATATCGGGTGTCCCAAAAAATGAGACCCTTTTTGACAAGTATTTTCCAGGCAACGGATGAACCAAATTCACTGAAAATTCGTAAGTAGCCATAGAGTATCGTTAGAAAGTTATAAAAATATGATAAAGATCAAGTAAATGTTATGTGAGTACTAAGAAATTCAAAATAGCATGTCAATAACTTTCCCATTACTGTACGAGCAAAATAGAATGTGGCTAAGTAACATAATGAAGCAAAGTCTTAGTTTTCGGAAAGAAATCGATGGGCGCTGTCATTCTCATGAGTGGAAAAGGTCTCAAAAACATATTTCTAGGGAAACTCCCATTGATTTATTTTTATTTTCTAAGAGTTCAGATAGGCATCTTACAACTGTGACACTTTGTTCTTATCCCATCAGGCCATACACGGATTTTAACCACAAATAAAGAGTCTAACATTAAAAAACGAGTTCTCCTTATCGGGGGTCCTTTACAGTGAATTCGGTTAATCAGTTGTTGAGAAAACAATTGTCAAAAGTGCTTCATTTTTGGGACACCCGATATATTTCTGAAGTGATGCTCATGTTCTCATCAAATATTTGTTCATTATATCTCAAATCAACGAATGTAGCAAATAATTGTTCATTTTGTCTCAAATCAACGAAAGTAGCAAATAATTGTTCATTTTGTCTCAAATCAACGAATGTAGCAAATAATTGTTCATTTTGTCTCAAATCAACGAACATGGCAAATAATTGTTCATTTTGTCTCAAATCAACGAACATAGCAAATAATTGTTCATTTTGTCTCAAATCAACGAACATATCAAATAATTGTTCCTTTTGTCTCAAATCAACGAACATAGCAAATAATTGTTCATTTTGTCTCAAATCAACGAACATAGCAAATAATTGTTCATTTTGTCTCAAATCAACGAACATGGCAAATAATTGTTCATTTTGTCTCAAATCAACGAACGTAGCAAATAATTGTTCATTTTGTCTCAAATCAACGAACGTAGCAAATAATTGTTCATTTTGTCTCAAATCAACGAACGTAGCAAATAATTGTTCATTTTGTCTCAAATCAACGAACATAGCAAATAATTGTTCATTTTGTCTCAAATCAACGAACATGGCAAATAATTGTTCATTTTGTCTCAAATCAATGAACATAGCAAATAATTGTTCATTTTGTCTCAAATCAACGAACATAGCAAACTAGATAACGGCAACTCTGCGGAGTAGCAAATCCCAACGAACAAAATATCAATTACCGAATTCCAATCAATTATACTCATTACTTTGGTTAAAATTGAAAAATTTAGATTTTAGAATTGCGAATTCCTGCAAAGCAGCCATTTTGAATTTTCTGAGGGACAAATCTGAAAAATAATACCATAATTGTGAGCTACTCCAAAATTCCTTCAATTTGAGTATAATATAGCCATACTTTGAAGGGATCGAAAAATTATTGCGAAATCGGACATTAGACGGCCATTTTGAATTTCACGAGGCTCGAATCAGAAAAAAGATACAATATTTGCAATCTACTCTTAATTGCCTTTAATTTGAGTATAATAAAGCTATACTTCAGAAAAATCTAAAAATAAGCGAAAATTTCTGTTTTCCTGACCCCCCATATACGGCCCCTGGGGGTCAGGATGAAAAACACGGAATATATGTGAAATAGATAGATGTTGCGAATATACTACCAAAATTTCAAACAATAATATTAATTACTTTGGTTTAGAATGAAAAATTTATGATTTTGCGAAAAAGTCCCGTCATTTTTAAAGCGGCGGCCATCTTGAAAAATTATTTTTTTGCCTAAAACTATTCACCAATACACATCTTTCCACTAAATATGAAGAAAATCCGTCAACTAATATTTGAGTTATCTTCCGGACGGACGGACAGACGGACGGACGGACGGACGGACGGACTGACTGACGGACAGAGGGCTTCACTATATCCCTACCGAACTTCGTTCGTTGGGAGAATAATGATGCTATAGATATACAAAACTACAAAATATATCTCCAAGTACAAATGACTATATTTCATGCATGGTATTCATATTATATAATAGACTAGTTTATGAGTAAACAAATAGTGACTGCAATTCAGTGAGATAGCTCAAAATATTTTTCCGGAGGGTGTATCCTGTTCACTGACATGTTCTTGAGGCTGAGGGAACATGTCAGTGGACATGATATTCCAGAGTGGAGTCACTATTTGTTTTATTATACCTGATATGTACTCTATCTTTATCTCTATCTCTACTCTTTTTAATTCCAACATTCAATGCCTTCAAGTTAAGGTATTTTGCCATTCAAGCCCTACAATCCCAGCAAGTAGGGAAGATAAAACTTTCTATTGACTGGTCACATGACCTAACTTGTGATTAGTACTTTTTATCTTCCCTGTTAGCAGGGATTTAGGACTTTTCATGAAATTATAGTTCATCTATTCCATAACATGTGACCATGAATAAGCATTAAGAATAAATATGGGGTACAGGTATAAAATAAGTATAAATTAGTATGTTATAACTCTTTTAATAAATAATTCTCATAATTCATTGAAATATATTTGTTTTATTATTTATAATAATGACAGGTAATACATATTTTACAGGGTTGGCCAAAAAACATCCATATTTTCATTTCGTATAACTCATTTGAAAATGCATGGATTCCCATAAAATATTGGCAGGATATGGAGAAATCAATTTTACAAATGTTCCAAAGTGGGATGAATAAATCTGAAGTGGATTCTGAATAATGAAGGTAGACAGACACGAGAGGTATACTGTATTTGCCTTTTCTTTGGTGAGTGTTTTAAATTGGCGATTTTTTGTGAATTGAAAGAATCGCAAAATTAAATAGTCGCCAAAATCCCCTTCTCACAGCTGAGGATCCAAATGCCGCAGAAAGTAGGGACTCTGTATAACAGAATAATGTACCAACAGAAAGGCATTTTTTTGTTATGCTTTGAATGGAACAAGTTTGAAGAAAAACGGTGCAGTATGAGACTGACAATTCTTGATCTTCAAACATCTGGTAGGTCAAAAATTCAAAATAAAGGTCAAATTAGCACCGCATGGTTATATTGGAATAAAAAAATATGGATATTTTTTTTTTGGCCCACCCTGTAGATTTAATTATTAATTAGTGACACCATCAATTTAAGAAATAATTATTTCCTTTTTAAATACAATAGTTCACAAAGTAAATCTATTAAAGTAAAACATCTCCTTTTAATAGTTGAACAACTCAAAGAACATAAGTCAGAGCTGTGAGTTGAACACCTCCACGAGGGACATTTTTAAAGATACCAAAAGTATTCTACTTATAAAGATTTTACTGTAAAAAGTACTAATGAGCAAAGTTGTGCAATAGTTTGATGGAATATCAATATAATTAATTTAATCAATTAATAAATCAATACATGTATCCACCCAGGCATTCCATTTGTGTTATAACACATGGGACACATGGTATACTTTTAAAGAGATCATAGGCCTTGACTGCATCTTAACCCATCATGAATGAGATCAATTCAAATAGAATTTTAAAAATATACAGTACGAGATCATTTCAAATACAGGGCGACTTTTTGGAAAAATTCATGCCAACGTCCATGTTTTGTCTGATCTGTGCTTTATTCAGCAGATAACACTTATAAGCATTGTATATCCATGTCTTTAATTCAAGCTACTTTCTATCAAAGCTCACTAGGATATCATTGTCTCTTAGTTTATGATATGTCATTTGCAAATGTAAAGCTCACTGGGATATGGTCTCTCAGTTTATAATACGTCATTTGCAAATGTAAAGCTCACAGGGATATGGTCTCTTAGTTTATGATATGTCATTTGCAAATGTAAAGCCCACTGGGATATGGTCTCTTAGTTTATGATATGTCATTTGCAAATGTAAAGCTCACTGGAATATGGTCTCTTAGTTTATGATATGTCGTTTGCAAATGTAAAGCCCACTGGAATATGGTCTCTTAGTTTACGATATGTCATTTCCAAATGTAAAGCTCACAGGAATATGGTCTCTTAGTTTATGATATGTCATTTGCAAATGTAAAGCTCACAGGGATATGGTCTCTTAGTTTATGATATGTCATTTGCAAATGTAAAGCTCACTTGGATATGGTCTCTTAGTTTATGATATGTCCTTTGCAAATGTAAAGCTCACTGGGATATGGTCTCTTAGTTTATGATTTGTCATTTGCAAATGTAAAGCTCACTGGGATATGGTCTCTTAGTTTATGATATGTCATTTGCAAATGTAAAGCTCACAGGGATATGGTCTCTTAGTTTATGATTTGTCATTTGCAAATGTAAAGCTCACTGGGATATGGTCTCTCAGTTTATGATATGTTATTTGCAAATGTAAAGCTCACTGGGATATGGTCTCTCAGTTTATGATATGTCCTTTGCAAATGTAAAGCTCACAGGAATATGGTCTCTTAGTTTATGATATGTCCTTTGCAAATGTAAAGCTCACAGGGATATGGTCTCTTAGTTTATGATATGTCATTTGCAAATGTAAAGCTCACTGGGATATGGTCTCTTAGTTTATGACATATCACTTGAAAAAGTGAAGCTCACTGGGATGTGATCAGTTAGTTTTGCTAATTGTGTCACAAAGTTGTAGCTGGTCACCCTCTGAAAACAAAAAAATTCCACATGTAAATGATACTGGAAAATAGAACATCAACATTTATTGTTCTGGTTTTGAGCAACTTGAGATAAATCAAAATGCCTTCAAGCAAGTCTTTTGTTCAGACTACCATTACTTCTGTAATCGTTTTAAACTCCATTACTGCTTTATTTGCCTAATATTTACAATAGTATTATCAAAAATTTACAAATCGGGCCATTGAAAGTGAAATATATGTTTAACTTCCCCTCCCTTCTAGGATTTAGGCAAATTGTAGAAGCATATAATAAAGTTTGAGTGGCCTTACCAGATTGTCTTCATTCCTGTAGAGAAGATAGTCAATTCTCCTACGTCCACCAACCTTGGAGAGTATAGGGTTACCATTATCATCCCTCTGAAAGCAAACACAAAGCATTAACATATTATTATTCAAGGTCACATTTCTCACTCTCTGATTGGTCTATGTCCTACATGTGACTAGGAAATAAGAATACATATTCCCCGACTGTTAAAGAGAGAATCAGATATAGCGAGCAGGCTAAACAATTTTTGGCTCATGTCATTCCTTGTCATGTCTATTTTCTAAAAATCACAAAAGTGCATACTTTATTCCAGGAAAACTAAAGATTTTTACAATAATGTATTATTTTTCTATAAGAATGGTTACCATTCTTATTATTTGGGAGAATTTAAACATTTTTCACTCATTTATGCACTTTGAATCATTAATAACTTCACCAATTTATGTACATAGTACCCCGGACAGGTTGTATGATGCAGTCGCTTTTTTACTCTATATTTGCAATAGAACAACCATTCTTATTGAAATTTTCATATTTTATTCTGGAGACAATTTCCAACATGGAAAAAAAATATTATAACGAAATTCCTAATTTTATGAATTTGATAGGCTTTTTTCAAAAACACTCCACTGTCAATAAAATACAGGTTTTTGCTCGAACAATTGAAGTTTTAACGTCATTTCAAAGATTGTCCAGCTATTCAATTTTTGGCAGCCTATAGTCTTTCCAGATGTATGTAATGCCATATTAATTATGGCTGATTATTGTTATTCATTTTTGTCATATGCAATATAGGCCTAATATTATTACAGTGCATTAGGCCAGTGAAAACTTGTCACTCTGAGTCAAGTTTTCTCTAATAACGGACCTTTTTCTCCACTGGGTTTTTCCGCCACCATCACTCAGCATGTAAGCCCGTGGCACGTAAATTATACCATGCTTTTAAAATGTCAGGTCTCCCTGGCAATTTCATAATAAAATTTGACACAGTTATATTAACATCTCTGAAGGATCTAATGCCAAGAATACTTCAAATTTGAGATTCATAATGTTTTACTTCATTTTGGACAGTATTGAACAGTTCGATCGGGTTCGTGTCCGTGGACAAGAAGATTGACCTCCTCTATCTGGGCTCAATCTAGGGAACTCTTCACAATACGAGACCCAGAGCATCACATTTTTATTGGCCTAATGCACTGTAATAATATTGAATATGACTCAAGTGAATAACAATAATCAGCCATAATTATTAATATGGCAACAGATATATCTGGAAAGACTTAAGGCGGCCGAAAATTCAATAGCCAGACAATATTTGAAATGACGTTAAAAGTTCAATTGCTCAAGCAAAAACCTGTATTTTATTGACAGTGGAGTGTTTTTGAAAAAAGCCCGTCAAAATTATAAAATTGGAAATTTTTATGAAATAATTATTTTCCATGTTGGAAATTGTCTCTAGAATAAAATATGAAAATTTCAATAAGAATGGTTGTTCTATTGCAAATTTAGAGTGAAAAAACGACTGCATCATACAACCTGTCCGGGGTACTATTGTGAATCTTTTGGGAGATATTGGATTTGATATTGTAAGGAATAGATTGGTAGGTCAATTATACACGTTGCTTGTAATTTTGTCACCCCTATAGATCAGATTCTGACTTTAATATGTCAAGTGTTATCTTAACCATGTACCCCTGGTACTCCAACTGGCATTCTGTTCAGTGTACATTTATAATTTTATACCGTATACCCCAGAAACAAAGTTTCATGAAGAAATCAATAGAATTCATGGTTATATCCACTACAAAGCATCAGTAAAGATTTGGGAGTGAAGAATATTAGCAATAAAAACAAATATCTGATTCTATTTTTCTGTGGATACCTTCATCCTGAAGGGGTCAGCTATAGTCATACACAAAAATCCCCTGTCAAAAATGTCATATCATATATTTGGATTTTCTCCCTGGGGTACATACATTCTGTATATACTTTGTATTAATATTTAAATTCTAAAGGAGTGATCAGCATCAATTATACTGCAAAATTCATGTATATAAATGTCAATGTTTGTCACTCACAGGGGTGAACCCCTCAAGAAAGAGCTTCCTACAAAGCTATCGCCAAGGTGGAAGTTTCATCCAAGACCCCCCCTCCCTGTCTAAGAACTACCAAATCAACTATACACCATTTATTGAGAATTTTCCCCCTCACTCTTGAGTATCACTAAAACGGCTTTATTTAAAATGTTTATTTTTTTGCAATTAAACTTTCTTGCTTAGCTTTGATGTTTTACTATTTTTAGTCACTGACTACATTTCAGGATAATAATATATTATCTGGTGAATACATTGCTGAACATGTGTCTCCCTTCTTATTGATTTGGACACAGGTGAAAACATTGCTGAACATGGGACTCCCTTCTTATTGATTTGGACACAGGTGAAAACATTGCTGAACATGGGACTCCCTTCTTATTGATTTGGACACAGGTGAAAACATTGAACATGGGACTTGTAATTGATTTGGACAGCTTTAAATGATAAACCTTCAGTAAATTCAATACTCAAGTAGAATGGCAGCAGTGTTATTATATCTTTATATCCATCATAGATGGCAGTACAACCAGTAGTGCATCATGGGATATAATGAACCAATGACATCATGAAACTGAACAATGCTCACCTTTGGCATCCAAGTGCACATATCTAGTGTAGCACTCTCCACATCTGCATCAAGCACATGATGTTGTAGCATGTATGGGTCTTCTAGAGCTTCTTTGAGCCCTTCAGCAGTAGACACTTGCGTATCATAGAGTGGAATGTGGCGCATTTCAGTACCTAAAATAGTAATAAGGGTAAAAGTAGGCTTGTAAGGGTCATCTAGAGCTACCTTGAGCCCTTCAGCAGTAGACACTTGTGCGTCATAGAGTGGAATGTGACGCATTTCAGTACCTAAAATAGTAATAAGGGTAAAAGTAGGCGTGTATAGTCATCTAGAGCTTCCTTGAGCCCTTCAGCAGTAGACACTTGTGCGTCATAGAGTGGAATGTGACGCATTTCAGTACCTAAAATAGTAATAAGGGTAAAAGTAGGCGTGTATAGTCATCTAGAGCTTCCTTGAGCCCTTCAGCAGTAGACACTTGTGCGTCATAGAGTGGAATGTGGCGAATTTCATAACCTGAAAAAGTAATAAGGGTAAAAGTAGGCATGTACACTGTATGGTCATCTATACCTTCCTCGACACCTTCAGCAGTAGACACTTGTGCGTCATAGAGTGGAATATGTCGCATTTCAGTAACTAAAATAGTAATGAGGGTAAAAGTAGGCATGTACACTGTATGGTCATCTATACCTTCCTCGACCCCTTCAGCAGTAGACACTTGTGAGTAGAATGTGAAGCATCTCAGTACCTTAAACAATCATTAAGAACAATGTAAAGTCACTACAATCAATAAAAAAGCGATCCTCTTCTTATGATATTAAATATGTACAGTGAAATAAAAATGGTATTTCTGCTCAACATATATTTTATTTGTAACAACCTTCACCATGCGCTTCTTTTAAAAGCCCATGCCTCACCCCATCAAAAATATTACCTTTGGACCATGGATGATCTAAACCTGGTCGTATTCGTACAACATCTCTATAGTCGTCAAACAAAGTATGTTCATAATCTTCCTTGTCAACAGGTGACATGTTGTCAAGGTTGAAGTCTCCAGTAAGCACATCAAAGGCAATGATCTCAGACTCAGGACTGAATGTGTTGTCACGGAAACACCGTGTCCAGGATGCAACTTCACTTAATTGTTGGTGGTGAACAGTGTCAGAATCAGATTCTGTAAATAAAACATGTACTTCTGATCAATTACGACTGTCAGGTTGACCCACCTGTGCAATTTACAGATCTCTAAAGTGTATTTTAGATTAGAATTCAAATTGGTCAGACTGCCTTTAACAATGACAAGAATGAATCTAATCTTATGTTTACAAAATATGACCAATGGTATTTGAGTATTTGAGATCTAACATCCAGCAAGAGTGCATCTTTAAAAATACTTGGCTGTTAATCTGTGAATAATCTTTGAAAATGAGAAATATATTCTTGGATAATTATAGGATCCTATGATTTTGAGGAATATCATTTTTATCTACGAGGTGATATTGATATCTGCACGAGTAGATTAAAATGATATTCTGAAAAAAACGTAGGATATTCTTATTATCCTACACTTACAATATGATGTAATCCAATAGTCAATAAGATGTTTTGGATTGTATGTAAAACATGAACGAAATGCATAAAAAACTCCCCCAATTCATTCCGTATACTGTACTTCTACTTAATTTGGCGACTGTTTTAATTTGGCAGATCTGTCAAAGTGTTGAGGTCTGCCAAAATAAGTAGCCGCCAAAATCCCTGCTAATTTTAGTACCATGTAAAAAGTACCATAAGTGCATTGTATTATAGTCCGCATAATGTTCAAAACAGGAAATTCAGCAAAAAGAGTAGCACCAAATTAAGTAGAAGTACAGTATAACTAATTTACCTTGTAGTTGGTTCTGGTAGGCTTGCATATGTGTAGTTGAAGCATAGCCAACCAAATTAAGTAGAAGTACAGTATAACTAATTTACCTTGTAGTTGGTTCTGGTAGGCTTGCATATGTGTAGTTGAAGCATAGCCAACCAAATTAAGTAGAAGTACAGTATAACTAATTTACCTTGTAGTTGGTTCTGGTAGGCTTGCATATGTGTAGTTGAAGCATAGCCAACCAAATTAAGTAGAAGTACAGTATAACTAATTTACCTTGTAGTTGGTTCTGGTAGGCTTGCATATGTGTAGTTGAAGCATAGCCAACCAAATTAAGAAGAAGTACAGTATAACTAATTTACCTTGTAGTTGGTTCTGGTAGGCTTGCATATGTGTAGTTGAAGCATAGCCAACCAAATTAAGTAGAAGTACAGTATAACTAATTTACCTTGTAGTTGGTTCTGGTAGGCTTGCATATGTGTAATTGAAGCATAGCCAACCAAATTAAGTAGAAGTACAGTATAACTAATTTACCTTGTAGTTGGTTCTGGTAGGCTTGCATATGTGTAGTTGAAGCGTAACCAACCACTCTCTTGTTTGTACCAGACTTTAACCCAAGATCAACCTAAACATTCAATGAAACAATGTTAAACTCCCCTCAATAAGATTGACAATTTGAAGTCCTTTTCAGACCATATTGTGTTGAAGATTGTCTATGATTGATAGTTTTAATATACACATGTAGGCCTATTCATCATTTGTCATCAAATTCTCATCTATTTCAGTATTTCAATTGATAATCTAAATAAAGATTATATAGTACTCTTTAAGCATGCTGCAAAACTTTATGCTTGTTTAAAATTTCTGCCAAAAGTTGGTCAAAATATGCCAATTTTCATGACTTCAGATTTACGAGTGGTTGCAAATGGATTTTCAAGTGTGGATGCAAGTTTATTTTCAAAAGCAATGCTACTGTAAATTGCTTTAATTTGGCGCTATTTTATTTGCCAGATTAGGTGATGTTTAGAAATTTGGCTGTTATTTAATTTGGTGGATCGACCATCATCAATCGTATTGCTCACTTCACAGATCGCCACTGATCAGATAACGTCAAAGTTCGTGCAAGGTAACACATGAATAAGGAATTTCATTGGTGGAGACTTAATTTGGTGGATTTCATAATATCCAACAACCAAATTAAAACGGCCGTCAAATTAAAGCAATTTATGTAGTACCTGATTCTGATCATATTGCTTTGTGATAAAAAAGCGACACATACCTTTACCATGAGTAAAGTGTCAATTTGAGCAAAGTGTCAATTTGAGTAAAGTGTTAATTTGACTACAGAGTCAATTTGAGTAAAGTGTCAGTATTTGACTACAAAGTCAATCTGCCAAAATAATGAACATTACTGACTGAACAGCTTTTCTAATACTATAAATTGCATTAATTTCTCGCTATTTAATTTCATGGATTGGGCATATTTTGAAATTTTGGCTGCTATTTAATTTCATGGATTGGGCATATTTTGAAATTTTGGCTGCTATTTAATTTCATGGATTGGGCATATTTTGAAATTTTGGCTGCTATTTAATTTCATGGATTGGGCATATTTTGAAATTTTGGCTGCTATTTAATTTCATGGATTGGGCATATTTTGAAATTTTAGCTGCTATTTAATTTGGCTGATTGGGCATATTTTGAAATTTTAGCTGCTATTTAATTTGGCGGATTGGGCATATTTTGAAATTTTGGCTGCTATTTAATTTGGCGGATTGGGCATATTTTGAAATTTTGGGTGCTGTTTAATTTGGTGGATTTGGCCATCATCAATTGTATTTGTATTACTCACTTCACAGCTCAATGCCTATAACACATTTTATCTCTCCTGGTATCAGATTGTTTTATCTAAACCAGCAGAGACTCCGTGGGTCTTGGGAAAGTTCGAGCAAGGTAACACATGAATAAGGCACTGGACGAAAATCCCCGGGAATTGCATTGGTGGAGACTTAATTTGGTGGATTTCATAATATCCATCAACCAAATTAAAACGGCCGTCAAATTAAAGCAATTTATGTAGTACCTGATTCTGATCATATTGCTTTGTGATAAAAAAGCGACACATACCTTTACCATGAGTAGACCTTTAGATGAAAGAACATCCTGAGATACGCTTGACTTGAAATGTTCAAACTTTGCATCAAGAATTGGATGCTTGCTGGCAATCATTATCCCACTTGTACCAGAAAGCTTGTTGATTGTCCAACCGTGCACATATGCATCGTAAATGATGAATGGGAAATACCGATGAAGCTCTCGGGCAAAAGATCTCGCAGCACCCTTGTTCCATGTTTCTTGGATGCATAGAATGTCCAGTTGAGGGAAAGATGTGAGTACATTGTGATCAAAATCAACTGGATTGGTCTCATTATTGAGATTGTGTTGGTTGAGATTGTGCTGATTGTGTTGGTTGAGATTGTGCTGATTGTGCTGGTTGAGACTGTGCTGGTTGTGCTGGTTGAGGTTCTGCTTGCATTGATTGTGATTAGAATTGGTATAAGGGACATCTCCAGCTCCATTCATTGACGCATGCTTCTGAATGTAGCCATATGCATATGTTTGTGAAGTCATTAAAGACCCCTAATATGTTACTCTCAAACTCTTTTCTATGTAACATTGCACACTTCCGTGTGTAACTTCACAATGTATTACTGATTCTTTCTTAGTACACTTGTTAAATTAATGTAGTTGACAATGTTGAATTCCAATCAATGATCCTTTTTAATAATTTTCTAACAATAACTTTCCAGACAGAGACAATGCTATCCACATTGGTGTATTGTACCTTGACCTTTAATCCTTGATTAACTGTGGACTTGGCCTGTCTGAAATCAGAAGATATAAGCAAAATTTAATAATAGTCCCAATCTAGCTTAGTAAATAAAAGTATTTGTAATAAGATAATAGCTTATTGGAACACTCCTTGTGTATGTTTTGACACTCTTGACATATCACTGTGACATATAATATCACAGTGACATACAGATATTATCACTGTGACATATATAATCACTGTGACAGATACAACACTGTGACAGATATTATCACTGTGACAGATATTATCACTGAGACATACAGATATTATCATGATCATTCAAGGCGAAGGCTAAGTAAATCAAAAGTACAAAAATGGCAGCCATATTTTTTTGATAAAGTCACAAGATTTGGTATATGTTTTCCTTATATGTGAATGCATTTCCTGGAATTATTACACCAAAACATGGGCTTTCAACTAGAATTTGCAAGAATCCAAAATTGCCAAAAATCATCTTACCTTACCAAGGAACAACGAAGGAGCATGAAAATGTGCATTTCTTGCATTGTTAGAGTATGATAAAGCTCAAACCATAGTTTCTTATCAATATTTCATGTCTACTATTTTGTGACTATACCAAGTGGCATGGATTATCACTTGTATATTTTATCTATTACAGTATAATTATCATGATAGATACACGATTGAGGCTTTATGAACGACAAACAATGATGATGAATGAGGATTACTCTGGACTAAAAACAGTCCCAGCAAACAAAATGATGAACATAAAATATTTAGAATTCACATTGTCAATGGTTTGAGCTTTATCATACTCTAACAATGCAAGAAATGCACATGTCCATGCTCTTTTGATGTTCCTTGGTAAGGTAAGATGATTTGTGAAAATTTTGAATGCAAATGTGACATCAAAGCGCCCCTACATAATGTACTCCTTGAAGTTTTCAGAAATTAACCTCCCTTCACAGTTTTCATGTAAGCTTTAGGGACCCATACACCTTCAATTCATAGTTATGAAAAATATGTTTGTGTGTGATGTTAACTTTGACATGTTTCTTTAGTCAAGATATACAATTCATATACAGTGGGGATCATAAAGAATTGCAAAAGCTATGAAAATTACATGCTGTCGCACATGTAATAAATTCTTACCTCAGTGTATTCAGTGCTCTATTTTCACCGTCTGAATAAGTCCAAATATAGTGGAATTTGTGTCCCTAATGACAAATAAGAACTTCAAAAGTTCAAGTGGATATTCACATGTTATGCCGACTCTTCAAATGTTGAGGTGATTTTGTCGCCCGATTGCGCCGGAACGGAGGATTGGCTCCCAGAATGCAACATGACACGTGCCAGCTTTCAAAATGCTGTTCCGCCATTTTGAAACCTGTCATGAGTAAATATGGTAACTGATGTTGCATTCTGGGAGTCAACCGTCCTTGGATAACAAACATGGCGATTCATGAAAACATTCATTCGATTTGGTAGGGATTTATCCATTATTTGCAGGTATGAAGCTTTGGATTCATTTATTGTGCTACTTTAGTGAACGGGAATTATTTATCTACCGCTTGGGAGAGTTTGAGACACGAAACTTGGAAATTAGCTCATTGTGACAACTTGAGAACGTTGAGTTTTATTTTTGTCCCCCACTGTACATATACTGTACATGTGTTACTTCGGTCCAAAGCCTTCTCTATATTCCAGCTGTAAGCTAGAGACTCGAGTAAGTACTAGTATCTATCAAATGGCCAAATTATTTCATAGGAATTCGTAGCACCTTATATCGTATAGTTTTGATATGCTGGCTTATATGGACTCAATAGAGGGAGAAAGGACAGTAACGGGGTCACCATTTCCGGGTATTGGAAGTAAAAAATACGAATCGCAGTGTTCAGAATTCAAAGCGCCATATTAACCAAATCTACATTATGTAGACAGATCAACACACATTCTTGTGATGAGACTCAACTCTAGGGACATTATTGAAGTATATGATGTTTCTTTACTGACAAATGAACAATAATGAAACAGACATCAAGTAACGAGAGAAATATTACCTGTTTATTTTTGAGAACAGTCTACCGGATTACGTCCAGGATGTGATCCTATGACGTCACATGGCGCATGCGTAATAAGTTGTTTATGGTCGCAACCGATTTCTGAAATGGCTGGGAAAAAGCGAGAAAAGAAGAAGAAAGAGAAGTCCAAAGGCCTGGTAAATATGGTGTTTTAATTATCATATCGTATAAATGTAATTAGAATAAAAAATTCTTCATCAGGAATCGTAGTAACTTTTAAATTGCAAGTTAAAATGAGAGTCACCCTATTATCGCCCAATAAAATTTTGTTTTCTTTTTTTAAAGATTGCAAAGCTCTGATCGGGGGTTGGATTTCCCAAAGATTTTTCGTTTTGGCACATTCGAAAACAAATTTCATAAACAAGCCTGATTTGCCATTAAAATGCATCTCCCAACAGTTCGCTGTTGTTTTATGAGTAGACTATTCTCTATTACCTTCTTCTAAGGCCACTGTATCGTGGCCTTCCAGTACAGATATATTCCTGCATGAACAAATGGTCATGTCGTAATCATAAAATTTGAAATCATATGTCCGCCATTTTTCCACATCACAATTTGAATTGCGAGTTTTAGTCTTATTACCTCACCAAAAATTCCAAAACACACATAAAGTGATCAGTGTATTAGTTCACATCTTCTGGATCGCTAACTTAGAATTTACAGCCAGTTACTAATGTCAGACTTTAACGACATTTCATCCAGTTTTCGAACATCGCCATTTTTCTTGGAGCCATTTTGTTTTAATTTTAGACGAAATCCTGATGAAATCATGTCATATCTCATCAAGGAGCCGAGCTGGGTCCGGTTTGATTAATGATTTATTTATCTGGCGATTTTTAAAATATTCAATAAATTTATGACACCACGGCCAGCTTTTTTCAAATAGAGTTCACAGTATTCCAGATGCAATCCCTTCTAGAGACTCTAGTAAATTCTCTACAAGTTTTGATATCGAGTAACTTCAATAGTATATTAAGTTCTTCGCCTAAAATGTCACTCGACTTTTTTGCAAAGAAAAAACCTTCCAAAAAGTAACAGTCGCATTAATTCACATTGTCGTACTTACAAAATGATCCACCGCCTAACTTATGCACCATCCAACTCGGTAATATTGTACACGTAACTATTAATTACCGTATATTCCCATAGAAAACTGGGCTTGCTTTTCAACATTTCAAGCGAAAATTCTCTACAGAGTTTTTGTTTTTTTGATGTAATTTCTTCTAAGAAATCGGTGACGTGATAGGTTCAGTTCATCTTAGGGGTGTCATCTATTTAGAATATTTATTTTCATCTTGTCCAGTCCTATATACAACCTGCCCTTATCCTTTTCGCTTGTAAAACCGCGTAGTAATGGAATAAATTCTCTGAGAGTGGCGACATGTCTGCATCTCTACCATCTTGCGTTTGACACCCCTCATTTTGGGTGAGTCCAAGTAAACCGCACATCCGGGTGATTAGAAAATATACATTTTTCAAGAAAATTCGAGCGGTGAGACAGATTACTCTGGTCAAACTGAGTTTTTGACGAAACTTATGAAAGAATCGATAAAAGGTAAGTGATATACATTAGGCGGATGCCAAAAATTAAACATGGCGCCAATTTGAAACTACAGAATGCCTTCTGTGATTCAAAATCACAAAAAAAGTTGAGTGACATTTTAGCTGGCGAAGAATTTAGTATTTATACATAATACAATGTTTTGAAACAATGATGTGGAACTGATGTTAACGCCATTTCCACAATTTCAAATATTACTTTGTGCCTGTACGGCACTGAGAGAGCACATGCTCATGATTGTTCACATGATCACATCCTGCAATTTGATTGGACATCATACAATGGAGAATCTCTGAATACGATAGAATATAAAAGAATTATGTGAGCTACTCACTATTGACACTTCTCACAGCTCTGATATTTGAACCTTCGAATTGGGGATTGAATTGTCACTTCGACACCATCCAAGCTCAGCATAGAAATGATAGTGTGAATAACAAGAACGCACCTACATGTACATATAAATATACCAAAATACATGTAGATCTAGATCTACAGTGCCCTCATAAATGTGGGGTTGATTTTTCAAATCACACCCACAACTTCTTATGTATTGAAAACTCAGGGTTGTAAAACGTTGTCAGTAGTTGACAAAAAGCTGAATTTCAATACACAAGTAGTTGTGGGGGTGATATATAGCAAAAGCATTGACATTTGCACCTTTTTTAATAGATCTTATGTCACAGCAGACCATCAGTTAAAAAAAATCCTAGAAGACCTAACATATTTCCCCGTATCATATCAATTATCGCTATAAGTGTTAAAGGACGATTCTCGGTTTGGAGAACAAAGTTCATCAATCTAAATGAGCATTATCCCTGCTTCGGACAAATTTGATTTTTTTTACATAATATAGATTTGAATGTCTTCTTTTGAATAGTCAAAATTTAATTTGGGTAATATTTCTAGATTTTTCGCAACAAAATATTAGCGCAGTACACTGATGAACTTCTTTCCCCAAATCGAGACTTGTATTTTATTGAATCGGTCAAATTGAGCCTTATCCCTGCTTCAGACCAATTTGTTATTTTTACATCTTGTAGATTTAAATGTCCTCTTTTGAATATTCATAGTTTAATTTGGGTAATATTTCTATATTTTTCATTAAAAAAATTATTAGCCCAGGAGACTGTTCTCCAAACCGAGAATCGTCCTTTGATGAATATCAAAATTATTTGCTATTATCAGATAATGCTTAATTTCACTTGGGCCCATTTCTTGGTTACATATGACCCAGCGGTCCCAGCCCAAAAAATTTGATGAATATCAGTTATCACAATTAGTGACAACTTTAATTATTATCAAAATTATCTGTTGTCATCCTTCTAGATTTGTTGAATTTTCTTGCGAAAATCAGCTACTCTCCCCCAATCATTTCTTTCTATCACCGGATGTGATATTGGTGTTTATTTTTTCAGCCAAATATAGGTGCCGCACTCCTGCCTACTTCACTCTTTACAGCTGTACCTCGCATTCCTCCACCACCTAAAGATGACCCTCCCCAAGTGTCAGGCCTTGCAACTACCCTGCTCAACTCAAGCATGCTGGGTAGGATGTTTGCAACACCGACTCAGGAGGCACTTGTCAGTGATGCAGATACAAGCCTCCCAGATTACAGTGGCGCTGAACCAGGGTATGTTAGACATTTGAATAGATGGAAAAACAATTTGAGATTTTGGTTGAATTTATTTCAGTGATATCCCAAGCATTTACGCAAGTGGGTGGAGCACCTACCTGAGATTTTGAAAATAGGCTTGCACCCACCTGAAAATCCATTTGCACCCAATTGAAAATGAGAAAAATCATGGAAAATTGGCATATTTTGGTCTGAATTGTGAGAATAAGAACTTTGCACCCACTTGAAAAAAGATCCTGGGGATACTAGATGTATTTGATGAGAATAAAATGACATACATACTATTAGTGTAAAATGAGTACTTGCAAAACATTTACAAAATCCCACTCTAGATTAAGCATACATGCTTGCAAGCTTCACTTGTAAAGGTCAGAATATACATTTACTTGCACATACTTTAGATATGTTAACATTAGGATCGCTGATTTACATTTACACTACATACCATTATTTCTGGTTAACAATTTTTTCAAGATGCGAGTTTAACCAGACTTTATTCTTTAAAACCAGTAGAAGATATGGGTCCATCCTAGGCTGTAGAGCCTTATAAGGGGTGCCCATAAATAATTAATCAGTTAGCTCCATATAAGGCTTTAGAACCATTTATTAAGAACTCATGAATAATTAATCAGTAAGTTCCAGTTCCATATAAGGCTGTAAAACCATATAAGGAGAACTGCTGAATAATAATGTAAAAAATCATTCTTCTGGTTTAGGTACTCTACATTGGATAACACTGGAAGAACAGGAGATAGAGGTCCACCGCCATTGCCTCCTGATGAAGATGAAGACAGTGATGAATATTATGACAGCGACTATGACGCCCCACCTTTACCAGGTAAATATTGAAATTAATGACTATGACGCCCCACCTTTACCAGGTAAATATTGAAATTAATGACTATGACGCCCCACCTTTACCAGGTAAATATTGAAATTAATGACTATGACGCCCCACCTTTACCAGGTAAATATTGAAATTAATGACTATGACGCCCCGCCTTTACCAGGTAAATATTGAAATTAATGACTATGACGCCCCACCTTTACCAGGTAAATATTGAAATTAATGACCATGACGCCCCGCCTTTACCAGGTAAATATTGAAAATAATGACTATGATGCCCCACTTTAAATATTATAATTAATGACTATGACGCCCCACCTTTACCAGGTAAATATTGAAATTAATGACCATGACGCCCCGCCTTTACCAGGTAAATATTGAAAATAATGACTATGATGCCCCACTTTAAATATTATAATTAATGACTATGACGCCCCACCTTTACCAGGTAAATATTGAAATTAATGACCATGACGCCCCACCTTTACCAGGTAAATATTGAAATTAATGACTATGACGCCCCACCTTTACCAGGTAAATATTGAAATAAATGACTATGACGCCCCACCTTTACCAGGTAAATATTGAAATTAATGACTATGACGCCCCTCCTTTACGAGGTAGATATTAGAATTAATGACTATGACACCCCACCTTTACCAGGTAAATATTATAATTAATGACTATGACGCCCCACCTTTACAAGGTAAATATTGAAATAAATGACTATGACGCCCCGCCTTTACCAGGTAAATATTGAAAATAATGACTATGATGCCCCACTTTAAATATTATAATTAATGACTATGACGCCCAACCTTTACCCAGTAAAAATTGAAATTAATGAAAATGATGCTGCGAGGGATATTTTAACCTCCAGAATAATAATCAAACTTCTGAATTCAACCATCTTGGAACAAAATATATTTTTGTGAAAGACTTCAGTTTGTTTTGAAGTTGCAAAAAATATAGTATACGAGAAGTATAACCAAAATACTACAAGACAATTGCCAGCTGCCAATGGGTCTTAAGTTTTTAAAAAGCTAAAGGGGTTTCAATTTAACAATTTTGGCCCAGAATCACTCCAAAAGTGCTCAAAATGGTGAAAAACTGCATTATTTTGAAAGAATCTTTGGCCAGGTGGCTCAAACATCCCAAAAACACACTACTGGTTATTCACCAGTGTCAAATTAGCCTCAAGATCAAATAACACATCAATATAAATTCGGCTGAAGTCCCCTAATGACGAATTTGATATGAAATTTAGATTTTCATCAATTGAATTTAAAGGTACTGATATTTATGACATGTATTGTTTCAGAGCCACCTATTGTTCGGGAAGAAATTCAAAAGGCTGAGACAGCGCCATCTTTAGATGCCATTTATTCACAACCTGTGAAGAGAAAAGATAGAAGGGTAAGGATTCTAGTCAACTCTGTTATCCTCATTTTTTCTATATTATAGTCATCTCTTTGTTATTTAAAAGATGGTCATCTTTTTTATAAAACCTCTCTCTAGTCATCCCTGGTTTAGTCATCTCTATTATAGCTTTTATATGTCTTCCAGTCAACTCCAAGTCAGTCTTTGGGATATGATAGTTCCCCTGGCCCAGAAAGACCACTAATGCAGTCAACCCCTAATGCAATGTGGCCTTCAACTCTATTATAGCTAAATATGTGTTTTCCAGTCAACTCCAAGTCAGTCTTTGGGATATGATAGTTCCCCTGGCCGAGAAAGACCACTAATGCAGTCAACCCCTAATGCAATGTGGCCTTCAACTCTATTATAGCTAAATATGTGTTTTTCAGTCAACTCCAAGTCAGTCTTTGGGATATGATATTTCCCCTGGCCCAGAAAGACCACTAATGCAGTCAACTAGGGGTGAGACGAGTCGAAAAAATCCGATTCGAGTCGAATCCGATTCGAGTCAGAAAATGACGATTCGAGTTTCGAATCCGTTTCGAGTCAGATAAAGTGCGAACAACATCGCTTTTGACCGTTCGTATTTTTAATGCGTCAATGGTGGAAAGCCGGAAATATAAACAAACACAATTCGTCGTAAGTTTATTCTGATTTTATTACATATATTCTTTCATTTATGTGTACATACAATATAATAATTTAATACAAGCATATCCAAGTCATTGAAACTTATATATTCAACGCAATATCGAGTAAAAACATGCATATTGACAGTATTTTTCTGAATTTTTTTTATTTTTTCGAATTTTTTTCTCAACTCGAAAATGATTCGATTCATCAACTTCGACTCGATTCGACTCGACTCGAAGCCCCAAACCCGCGAGTCCTCGACTCATCGGGTTGTCGTCTCACCCCTACAGTCAACCCATAATGCAATGTGGCCTTCAACTCTATTATAGCTACCGTAAATATATGTTTTCCAGTCAACTCCAAGTCAGTCTTTGGGATATGATATTTCCCCTGGCCCAGAAAGACCACTAATGCAGTCAACCCCTAATGCAATGTGGCCTTCAACTCTATTATAGCTAAATATATGTTTTCCAGTCAACTCCAAGTCAGTCTTTGGGATATGATAGTTCCCCTGGCCCAGAAAGACCACTAATGCAGTCAACCCCTAATGCAATGTGGCCTTCAACTCTATTATAGCTAAATATATGTTTTCCAGTCAACTCCAAGTCAGTCTTTGGGATATGATAGTTCCCCTGGCCTAGAAAGACCACTAATGCAGTCAACCCCTAATGCAATGTGGCCTTCAACTCTATTGTAGCTAAATATATGTTTTCCAGTCAACTCCAAGTCAGTCTTTGGGATATGACAGTTCCCCTGGCCCAGAAAGACCACTAATGCAGTCAACCCCTAATGTAATGCAATCTTCAACCAGTAACGATCCCTTTGCTCAACCACTTTATGATGAAGTCTCAAACCAAAGAGACACAATGAGAGGTAATATGATATTAACATCAATTAAAGATTAGATAAGGAAGGATATATTTTTATTTACATATTGGTATTCTTACTTAATGTTGGTAATTATACTTAACAATATATTGGTATTCTTTCACTCTTTTTAACAGCCTGTCCCCTCAGTTTGATGCACAAAAATCCTTACATTATGCGATTAATAGACTTTAGTATCACTAAATTGAAATATATCACATTGCTTTACTACAGTGACACCAAGACTATAAGAGCTCTAACAACAGAATGATGAGCTCCTAATAGGCTATAATATCACCAAAGTGAAATATACCACATTGCTTTACTTCAGAATCTACAGTGACACCAAGACTATTAGAGCTCTAACAACAGAATGATGAGCTCCTAATAGGCTATAATATCACCAAAGTGAAATATACCACATTGCTTTACTTCAGAATCTACAGTGACACCAAGACTATTAGAGCTCCAACAACAGAATGATGAGCTTCTTCAACAACAGGAAGAAATGCAAAAGCAGATAGAGGAGCACCACAGAAAGCAGAAAAAACTACAGAAGAAACTGGAAGAAAAGGAACAGACTTCCCCCAAACAACCAGCTACAGACCTGCAAAGACTTGTCCAAGAAGAAAAAGGTATAGGGAAAAACTGTACTCTAACTCTATAAAATTAGTATAAGTTTAATTGGCAATATTCCAAAAATGGTTCAGGCTTTTGGACATCTGTGTTTAGGTTTGACCAATTTTTCTTTGATTTTTCATTCATTTGTTTTCCAGATGTAACGGAAAAGACATTACAGAGACAGGAAGATCTGATACGCACACTACAGGATCGCAGTAATATGATGGAACAGCAGAATATGGAAATACAAAATATAAATGATGAACTCCAACATGAGATTGAAACACTCAGGAGAAAGATATTAAGAGATAATGGTAAGATTCCTGAATAGAGCAGTTGAATTACTGAGTATTTTGAAGACAGCTTTTCAAATAATTTAATGGAAAGATAAATATCTGTGAATAGTTTTATGCAAAAATTTTTTCCAACATGCCGATTTCTAGTTAAAATGAGTATTCAGCTTTAATAAAGGTCAGCCTCGTTTCGAATAAAATATTTTAACAGAATGACTTGGATGATATTCTAAATGAGAAATCAAGGTTATTTAGTAGTGCTTACATGTATTGAACATCCCAATTAATAGTTAAAATGCCAGTTAAGTTATTATGGTATGTATTTAACTTAAGAGTCTTAGAATAAATATGAAAATTCTATATTCCAGCCACTTCAAATAATGGAGAGAAAGATCAATACCGTGATCTCCGAGATGAAATCACAACATTAAAAAGTGCCACACGTAGACTCAACACAGAACTGAGTCGATATCAGTCCCACTACAGGAAACTGCCAGATGGTATGGACACGGGAGGTCTCCCAGATAAGGGACCGATTCCTTCATGGCAGGTTTGAATTGCAATTACTTTTTCAGTTTATTTTTAAAAAGTTTTAATTTAATTTAGTTTTAATTTGAATTGATAAAAAAATTAGAAATAAACAAAGATAGTTCACTGTGCAATGAGTAAGAACAAATATGACAGACTAATTTAAACGCTTTTTTTACCTGGCCTATGATGAATAAAAAGAACAACTATATAATAGACACAATAAATAGTAAATACTGATATTTTAATGTTACATTTAGGAAAATAAAATGTACCTTGCCCCTTTCTCACAGAGTCGAAAAACTTTCAAAAAGGACAACGTAATGACAAAATAGATACTGATATCTCACCGTTCTATTTAGGTTAACACAAGGTACCTTGCCCCTCTCTTCCTGGCCTATGACGATCGAATTCTCGAAAAGGACAACATAATAGATAAATATGAGGAGGAACTAGACAACTTTGGCCATAGAGTTGAGGATGTTATCAAAGAGAACCAAAGACTTCATATTAGACTTGAACAAACTGAAGCAAGTGGACCTCTCTCTATGACTGAATGGTGAGTTTTACATTTAGACTTGAACAAACTGAAGCAAGTGGACCTCTCTCTATGACTGAATGGTGAGTTTTACATTTAGACTTGAACAAACTGAAGCAAGTGGACCTCTCTCTATGACTGAATGGTGAGTTTTACATTTAGACTTGAACAAACTGAAGCAAGTGGACCTCTCTCTATGACTGAATGGTGAGTTTTACATTTAGACTTGAACAAACTGATTGTATGTGCTACAGGAGACAGTTTCAGGCTCAGTGTAACTTCATCTATTTAAATATGTTACAGGAGACAGTTTCAGGCTCAGTGTATCTTCATCTATTTAAATATGCTACAGGAGACAGTTTCAGGCCCAGTGTAACTTCATCCATTTAAATATGTTATGGGGGACAGTTTCAGGCCCAGTGTAACTTCATCTATTTAAATATGTTACAGAGACAGTTTCAGGCTCAGTGTAACTTCATCTATTTAAATATGTTACAGGAGACAGTTTCAGGCTCAGTGTAACTTCATATATTTAAATATGTTACAGGAGACAGTTTCAGGCCCAGTGTAACTTCATCTATTTAAATATGTTACAGGAGACAGTTTCAGGCTCAGTGTAACTTCATCTATTTAAATATGTTACAGGAGACAGTTTCAGGCCCAGTGTAACTTCATCTATTTAAATATGTTACAGGAGACAGTTTCAGGCTCAGCGTAACTTCATCTATTTTTAAATATATTACAGGAGACAGTTTCAGGCCCAGTGTAACTTCATCTATTTTGATATGTTACAGGAGACAGTTTCAGGCTCAGTGTAACTTCATCTATTTTAATATGTTACAGGAGACAGTTTCAGGCCCAGTGTAACTTCATCTATTTCGATATGTTACAGGAGACAGTTTCAGGCCCAGTGTAACTTCATCTATTTTGATATGTTACAGGAGACAGTTTCAGGCTCAGTGTAACTTGGTAATGGAGGAGAATCAATTGCTAATGGAGCAACTTGAAGTTCAGAGACAGAAGGAGAAAGACTTCCAGATGGCACACCACAAGGAAGGTAAGATTCATTGTTAAGTTCTTTATGAAGAATGCTACAATAATCCCTCAGTAAAAGATGGCACACCACAAAGAAGGTAAGATTCACTGTTTACTTTTGTTTAGTTCTTTATGAAGAATACAACAATAATCCCTCAGTAAAAAGTATTAAGCTATTTAATAGAATGAATATTTCTAGGAATAAAAGTCATATCCTTCTCATGAAATAAGCAATGTGTATTATGTTGCAGTCGGAAGATTGGCAGCCACACTTACTGAGAAAAAGACAGAATTACAAACTTTGGAAGATAGAGTATTTACGTTGCAACAGAAAATCACATCAGCACGATCTCAAAATGAGGCTATTTTAATTGAAGCCGAAAATAAGATTTTTGCTCAAGAACACGTCACAGCCCTTACAAATATGAAAAGGTAACTTTTGTATATTTGGGTCTAAAACATTGATGGAGAGAGAATATTATATGGCTGTGTTAATTTACTCTGTTGGGTAAAGTCTAGTATTAGAGATAAAGTGGCTTGCATTCATTTAGTTCTGATTTGGATATTTAGATTAATCTTTAGCAATCTTGGAATGAGATATCACACTTATTTGAGCTTTTATTGTCACATGTTGTCTTCTGTCACATGCTGTATGCTGTTACATGTAGTCAGTCTACTGTCACATTGAGCCAGTTATCACCTGCCGAAAAAAACACAATATTGTGTCATGGACAAAGTTGTAAAAAATTATGATTTACTCTGATATTAAAAGTTGTTTTCATCTTATTTCAGGACATTAGATGCCGAGAAAGAAAAGGTTGTACAAGAACTTGAAAATCTCCGCTCAAAAACACAATCTTTACAGACGGAAAATAAAAACCTAAGTGTTCAAGTCAGTGATGTGATGGCAGAAAACAAACAATTAAATGTGGAGGTTCAATCCCAGAGGAAAACAATCAGGTAGGAAAAGTGAATTACATGTAATATCAAATAATTGAGGCAAATATAAATAGGTGAGGCAAATTTATATATGTGAGGCAAATTTAGTTATGCAAGGCAATTGTTAACAGACAAGGCAAAATTAACTTGGAAACATATCTGCATAAATATTTCTCTGAAAAAAAAATGAAAGATTTGATAGGGTACAAGTAAGTGATATCCTTGCAATAGAAATCAAACAACTTAATGTAGAAGAATTATAATATAGCTAATGTGTATAAATGTTGATAATATGAAGGGGGGGGGGGGTATTGAGGGTATATGAGGATAATAAACAGGATGTATGAACTTTAACATGAATTATTGATGTGACAGCAGTCAAGAAACAACAGAATTTAGGAATATAATGATGATCAGACCCCCCTATTCTTGCTCTGATTTTGGTCAGAATGCATCAATTTATGTTAAATTTTCACATTTTTTTTATCAGACCCCCTTATCTTGCGCGACTCACGGGGTTCCCTTCGCGTACAGTTATTATCAAACACCCCTCTAACACAAAATCCTGGATCCGCCCCTGTGTCAACTCCACTTTTCATGATGGCTTGGCCCGATGTAACATACTGGTTTCACTTTAAAATATTGTAAATGTATTTGTATGTTTTTGCAGGAAATTGGAGCGCAAAATAGTTCTCCTGCAGGGAAAGTTAGAGTCTACTATGTACAAAGAACAAGATGCTCACGAATACCTCAACAGCGTAGTCAAAATGGTAGGAATAAGTACATATTTTAATCACCCTCTTCAATTTTTTCAATTCTCAATTATCAAATATTTTTGGTTCATATTGTTCCTTGTCATTTTTGTCTTGAGATTCTTCTTATGTTGGCCAGCAGCCGAATGAGTGGTTACTAATACTGAACCACAGTTATAAAATATATTATTTACATTCAGTTGTGAAAATTATAAAAACACATATTAATTGGTTTTGTCATGTACTTTCCAGGCTGAGCAAACAGTGGTTGAGAGAGACACGTATGCTAAAATGGTGAGTTCTCTTATTAATATAAATCCAAGAGGAAGTTATATGGTACTATTCAGTTGTTAAGTCAGACTGGATCATGGGAAACATTTAAAAAATATTCCACTTGGGAGATGTTCGAGTTGAAGGGATCTATTTAAATTTCTGTACATAAGTGCTCAGACAATTATCAGATTTATATTTGTTGAGAACGAGGGTCTGGGTTAATATAAACTTGAATTTGGCATGGAAAGGAGACCGAGTTTTGAATAAGGGACAAATAAGGATAATTCTGTTGGGGTTATAACTGCTTGATGAATGACTAACTATACTAGTACATGTAACTGTTATATAAATTGACAATTTGAAATACATAGGCTAGAAAAAGACTAGAAAGACTAAGGCAAGCTTCACTGCCCTGTAACATTGTGGTTGGTGAACTGCTACTTCAATCGGTATTCTGTTATTCTCTGTTAGTTGTCATCTTTTTATGTTGATTGAATACTATCATATATATTTATGTTCTATATTATTTTAAGTTGTCAATTTAAATTGCTTGTTTATTTATGTAAGTCATTCATTCCATATTAACTTAGTTTATTCCATACTAGCTTACCAGTTTGATTTTGTAACTGAAAGTTTCAGGGCTTGGAATTCTTAGATGAATTTATTCTGCCTCAAATGTTCAGTTGCCTCAAATGTTCAATTGCCTCAAATGTTCAATTACCTATGTTGTTTCGAGTTTAATATTTTTGGACTGCCAAGGATATAGCCAGGCAAGCAAAGTAATAGCTTTACCAAAACTTGCAAATAAACTAATTCAGATTTTGATGTGACTTTCCTGTGAACAAACCATCCCGGGGGGGGGGGGTGTTAACTGTATGATTGGGATCCTTGGCGCACATGGGGTACCTTTCTTTGCCATTTGGTATGGCAATGGACCCAAATTTAAGCATCTGGTATGAGAATGTCTCCACATTGGGACTTTTGAGGTATAGCGATGGTCAGATTTTTCCACTTTCTGGCATTGAAAATATGTTATTTCACACTTGTGGTATGACATTGGTTTAGTAGTTACAGATATCCTTAATTTTTGAGGTTGTTTTGGTACGTTTTCCAGAATACTTTGGACCAGTCATAGCATTGGTCCTATATTCAGACATTTGGTATGACATTGGTCTCATATTTGGGCATTTAGAATGGCTGTTGGGCACTATATTTGTTGGTATGAGAACACATCCAAATTTGACAATTTGGAATGGGAATATATTGATATCTGAGAGTTCAGCCTTGGACCCCCACCAAATTTTGTACACAGTGAACCCCCTGGGCTAACATCGCTGTCTAGCAAATATGTGTATTTGCTCATATTTGTTGCGAAATGCTTCATGAATTAATGTCCATTATTGCATTAAAATGTGGAACTCTGTGTTTGAAGATAACCAAAAATATGTTGGTAATCATAATAGCTCTTAAAGCACCCTAATATTTGCGAGACAGCGATTTATTGTGATCAATTTGGAAGGCAAGCATATTGGTTATTTGAATGTAACATAAAATGAAACCATGTTAATTTCAATCAGCCTCTAAAAGATTGCTGTTATTTCAAATTAACACCAAAATGTGTTTGATTGTGCAATTTGATTGTAATAGTAAGAATTCACCTGATATCAAAGTTAGCAATCAAATAATCAGCCAATAATTGATATTTGTAGGCACACACCCAGGAGAAAGAACGCCAGAATGCACTCGACCGTGTGATGAGAGGGAGTATTGAGGTTGGCCATTTGGAGGAAAAAATGAAGCATTATAAATCTAAGGCATATGATAAAGTGCTCAATGCTGCAAATAGGTATGTGTTTGGATGGAATTTTCTGTATTATAATTAATATCTAACATGACAGTGCTCTATTTGAATTTCTAAACCAATCAGAATGCAGCATAGTCAATAATGAACGTTCATTATTTTTCCATACAGGCACGACCGTGCTCTATTCAATCTGCTTCCAGGAATATATGTACATGTATTGTGTTGTATTATGACGTCTCATCTGGAAATGGCAGAAATAATAGCAAGTTTGGTTATTTCATTGACCTAGATCCCCAATTCTCTGAATAAAGTTTTCTTTTTTGTGTTTGAATCGGAATAAATAATGATAGGACATTGAATATGGTGAAGTTCAGCACGAGTTGGACAGAATGTCGTACAAAGCATGAACCGAAGGTGAGTGCATTTGTACTGACATTCTGTCCATCATTCTGTCTATCATTATTTATTCCTTAATTGAATGCACATCACACTACATAAAATATCCTGTGATGCATGTAGAAGGTTTTCATTAGGTCATGTTTGAATCTTTATTTTGTTCCTTTATTTCAAGAATTTGAGGATTTTTAAAATCAACTGGCTATTAGGGCCCATAGGTTTACACTCCGTTGTACTCTATTCTTTTAGGTTAAAGGACCAAGACTCTTTGTTTGACAAAGTACGGAGAGAGTACGAGCGAGAAATCAAACATCTTAAATTATTGGTACAAGAAAAGGATGACGTCATCAACAATTTGAGCCAAGAGAAAAGGTTTGTCTGTTTTATTTCATTTTTTTATTTAACGTCATCATTCTTGTTTGTACGAGGGGGGATTCATAAGTAGTGGGACTTTTCTGAGGCAGCAAGTCCCTGTGAACATATCTCAACCAAATTTGGCACATGAATGGTCTGGATATAAGGCATAGTTTGGTGAAATTTCATTTTAATTCATTTTTTTCCCTAGCGACAACGGTTCCTATGGTAACCAAAAGTAGGGGTTAACGGAGCAGTTAAAAAATGAAGGGCTTGATCAACATAAATATGCTTATAAATATATCAAAATGACAGTTATTTTCAAATAATTGGTTTCATATTGTCTCAAGCCTTGTAGTCATGACAACTGTAACATATATTACATCATCATGCTATTGTGATGTCACACAAGGCAGTGACACCAGGATGCTGCCATTTTCAGTCCTTCTTGGATGGATCAAAATTTGATTAAATTAGCAATGAAAAAGCAAGAATCGCGTATAAACATCCGTGCTGTGATTAAATTTAATGCTTTGAAGAAGTTTTCAGTATTAGAGATCTATAGAGGTTTGTTGGAAGTCTATGGGAACGAAGAAGTAAAAAATCTATAGTATATAGGTGGTATTCTGTATATGTATTCTGAATATACTGTGATAGCCTAGATGACAAATGAATGACCAATCTTGGAAAATATGGTTTTGAGGGTGCATACCTAGAATGGTTGAGGAGATGCCAAAAATGCATTGATTGTCATGGCGAATACTTTGAGAAAGAGTGAGATTGCACCAGGAGGATAAGGAATCAATAGTCTTGCTCCACAAAAGGACCCGCTAGAAGTCACGGATTAGATAAACAATGTGCTCCGTGGGCCCTGTTGTGATGTCATGATTGGAACTCTCACTTTACTGAAGTTGGGTGTAACTTTTTAAAATTTTCACACAATGATTATCCCATGTTTGTGGTTCTGTGTCCCAAGTTTGAATAAAATCTGGTTGATATAAGTGAAGTTATAGCATTTGTCCCACTATTTATGAATCCCCCTTGTACTATAGTTGTCATTTAGATATATGGACATTTAGGAATTAACAGTGCTGTATTTGATACTTCTACTTCCTTTTTATAGAACTTTAAACAATTGCTGTATTTTTTGTTGTCTTGTGATACTGGATTGGTGAGCAGAAGAGGTTTACATAAATCTTGTCATCAAAATTCAAAAACTACATTTCACAAAATCAGTATATTTCTCAACTACAAGGATTAAAAGGTTTGAGTTTTTTGAAACCTTTCTCAAGAATACACTGTTTTGCCAGAATATTCTCCAAGATTGCAATAGATTCTTCCAGATTAATTCCTGAAAAATAACCAATGTATGAAAAATTATTTGAAAAATCTCCATTCATTAAAATTTGAGGCCATTCAAAACAAGAAAATCTATGGTAAATTGGAATATTTTCCATATTTGTGAGCAAAGGTATCAACTTTGGACTTTTACCTCTTTAACTAATGAATATGTAAAATTTATTTTTCAGAGCTGTGGAGAATGGACTTGAGCAAGTTTGGCAGGCTTCATCTGCTGATAATAGGCGAATGAGGGACACACTTACCCACACACTGGGGAGTCTAAGTGCCAGACAAACCAAGGGTTTCCATAGGTCACTCTCTCAGGATAAACTCTTACATTTGTCATCTGATAGTGAGAGGTGACACCTGGGTAATTACCTCTTCTATTGTGGTACAAGAAAGGAAATGATAATTCCTCTGTTTTGAGCTCATGAGACCATGATAATCATATCTGCTTGGAACAGCTGAGAGACTTACCTCCTCCGTTGTGTTACTAAAGATGCCAGTGTACATGTAGTTTCCTCCTCCGTTTTATTAAACAAAGTTATTATGTATGCTCGGTTTGGCTAAAGAGGAAGAAATTGTCCAAAATTCAAAGATGAAGATATCTTATGTATGAGGGGAACTTTTAGTCTTACACTGGGGATAAAGTCACTTATGAATTCTGGGTTGTTCTCTCCTTTTGATAAGCTGAGAAACATATGTCAGCTGTAGATATAATATTTTTTCTGAACAAAAACAGAGGAGTTAGAAAAATTTAATTCAATTCTGCATAATTGCTGATTGAATAGCCGTGCTTCGGATTAAAAATCCATATAGAAATCCACTAGAATAATCACAGTTGGAGATAATCCACGATTCATTCTCACCGAACCTGGTGAAATTGCCAAATATGAACCAAATCTTATTTACGAAAATTATGAACAGTTATTTGTTTTCTTCAATTTCATTTTATGATAAATTAAGATATACATATTTGTATAGTTTTATATAAGTATATTGTAATGTTCCATAATGAAAATACCAATGCCATTACGAAAATATGATATTGTCATTATTCATTACATGTATGTAAACAAATGTTTTTAGATTTACAGTAAATGTACACACAGGAATTTGTCCCACCATGATTTACAATTATTGATCTCAAACTCAAAATGTCCAATATATTCTATTTTATATTCATTCCGTCCTTGAAAGTAACATAGAATGTATTATTCTAATTTCAAGAGCAAACATGTTCTTGAATGTTCAACATAGGTTAAATGCTTATATTAGTTACATTAATATGAGATGGAATATTGAATTAATGTTCTTGAATGGTCTATGAATGAGTAATTGCTATTTGTTCAAATGTATGTCATACATAGTTCCTTTATAGATATGAGATGGAATATTGAATTAATGTTCTTGAATGGCCTATGAATGAGTAATTGCTATTTGTTCAAATGTATGCCATACATAGCTCCTTTATAAATATGAGATGGAATATTGAATTAATGTTCTTGAATGGTCTACGAATGAGTAATTGCTATTTGTTCAAATGTTTGTCATACATAGTTCCATTATAAATATGAGATGGAATATTGAATTAGTGTTCTTGAATGGTCTACGAATGAGTAATTGCTATTTGTTCAAATGTATGTCATACATAGTTCCATTATAAATATGAGATGGAATATTGAATTAATGTTCTTGAATGGTCTATGAATGAGTAATTGCTATTTGTTCAAATGTATGTCATACATAGTTCCATTATAAATATGAGATGGAATATTGAATTAATGTTCTTGAATGGTCTATGAATGAGTAATTGCTATTTGTTCAAATGTATGTCATTCATAGTTCATAGTTCCATAATAAATATGAGATGGAATATTGCATTGATGTTGAATGGTCTATGAATTGCTATTTGTTCAAATGTATGCCATACATAGTTCCATTAATATGAGATGGAATATTGAATTAATGTTCTTGAATGGTCTATGAATGAGTAATTGCTATTTGTGGTATGAGTACCGTAATCCAACGACAAATTCGAAAATTCATATCAATACTTTCGTTCGTGATCAACTTTAAAACGCTTACTCCCCATAGTATTATATATCAAAATGTACCTGTTCATATAGGGGTTCGATTGATCTACATCAAATTATAGGGAGTCAGGTTACTTTTTGAGATATCAGCGTCCATTTATTGTAACTCGCGTTTGCTATACCATTTCTTCAATTCTGAGATGATGGGCAAACGCGTAGTAAACATGCTCACGTCGGAACTATTTTTGAGCTACATTGCTATTTTCGTAATTCAAATGAAAGTTGAACTCCTCCTCCTTATTTTGATACCAAATAGTGGCATACTACAGGGTGTCCCGAAAGTATGGGGGCCCCCCTAGGCAGACATATTCCAGTGTCCTCATAGTATGTGTCATATATCATTTTAAAGCTTGTCCAAAGTTACATTGATTTGCCAAGTATCATGGTTTAACTCCCAAATGGGAAAAAGTTACAGTCATTTTAAAAGTTAGTGTTTTGTCAAAATCAAGTTCAATTTTACACCACATTACTACAGGGTGGTCCAAAAAAATTGGAACATTTGTTAATTGAACACAAAATCTTTATTTTTTCTCTAAAATGCACCAAAACTTTACTGAGAAGAGGCCAGCCACTTTTCTATCTGATGTAAATTTTATAGTTGCATACAACAAAGTTAATGCATTAAACTAGTCAATGTTTGATATGACCCCTCTTCTCCTGAATTACAAGTTGAAGCTGGGGCTCAGATTTGTAAATATTCAATTAGTTTGCTGTTCGTTTGTTTTGTCAAAGCAATCTTGACTAAAAATTCAGTTTGATCAACCTTCCTATTTGTTTGCCTTGGAAGATCAAATCCAAATTGATGGGTATCAAGCATATTCTGATGGCGTTGGATATATTACTGATTGAATATTCTCCAGAAAGAGTTCGGGGCAGTCTCATTTGACTGGTAAATGAAGCCGGCCCTCCCCTTTATTGTTCTGATATGAATAATATTCATTGGATATATCAATATGCATGTCAGTATCATAAAAGAGTCTCCAATAACACAGATGATAATTATATGTGCTTTGCGTAGGTTTTTAATAAAACTTTGTGAATAACTGGTCAGTTTTGCCTTTTCTGAAAAGTGGGAACAATTCTTTTGTCACTTGAGTAGCTGTGAGGGTTATGCAATTGCTCACCTCTGACATGTTCCTTCTTCCCTACTCTTAAATCAAAATGATCATTCTGGGTATTGTTTAATTTGGTATTAACACAATATTTTTCTGGTAAACCCCAGATGTAAATACCTCTTGTCAACTGGATATTATTTTATAATATGTTTATAGCAATCAACATGTTCATTAAAGCTTTGAAATAAAGAATACTTGAAAAAGTAGCGGCGAAATTAACATGTGTATATTTAAGAAAAGGGGCTCCTATCCAACATTGACTGGTTTAATGCATTAACATTGTGGTTTTCACCTATAAACTTTACATAAGATAAATAGTGACTGAACTATGATCAGTGAAAGTTTGGTGCATTTTAGAAGAAAAATGATTTGGACCACCCTGTAGATAAGATTTAAAATGATATATGACAGATACTATGATGACACTGGTATATGTCTGCCTAGGGGGGGGGCATACTTTCGGGACACCCTGTAGGTACTAGAAGACAACCATGGTGTTATTTAGAACAATACTACAGGTTTTTAAATGGACTATATAGGGGTCATACCTTTTGGCGGATGGATATGGAACCTCATACCTTGTTCAAATGTATGTCAATTACATAGTTCCATTATAAATATGAGATGGAATATTGAATTAATGTTCTTGAATGGTCTACGAATGAGTAATTGCTATTTGTTCAAATGTATGTCATTCATAGTTCATAGTTCCATAATAAATATGAGATGGAATATTGCATTGATGTTGAATGGTCTATGAATTGCTATTTGTTCAAATGTATGCCATACCACATAGTTCCATTATAAATATGAGATGGAATATTGAATTAATGTTCTTGAATGGTCTACGAATGAGTAATTGCTATTTGTTCAAATGTATGCCATACATAGTTCCATTATAAATATGAGATGGAATATTGAATTGATGTTCTTGAATGGTCTACAAATGAGTAATTGCTATTTGTTCAAATGTATGCCATACATAGTTCCTTTATAAATATGAGATGGAATATTGAAATGATGTTCTTGAATGGTCTACGAATGAGTAATTGCTATTTGTTCAAATGTATGCCATACATAGTTCCATTAATATGAGATGGAATATTGAATTAATGTTCTTGAATGATCTATGAATGAAATTGCTATTTATTCAAATGCTTGTCATACATAGTTCCATTAATATGAGATGGAATATTGAATTAATGTTCTTGAATGATCTATGAATGAGTAATTGCTATTTGTTCAAATGTATGTCATTCATAGTTCATAGTTCCATAATAAATATGAGATGGAATATTGCATTGATGTTGAATGGTCTATGAATTGCTATTTGTTCAAATGTATGCCATACATAGCTCCTTTATAAATATGAGATGGAATATTGAATTAATGTTTTTGAATGGTCTATGAATGAGTAATTGCTATTTGTTCAAATGTATGCCATACATAGTTCCAATATAAATATGAGATGGAATATTGAATTAGTGTTCTTGAATGGTCTATGAATAATTGCTATTTGTTCAAATGTATGCCATACATAGTTCCTTTATAAATATGAGATGAAATATTGAATTGATGTTCTTGAATGGTCTATGAATAATTGCTATTTGTTCAAATGTATGTCATACATAGTTCCATTATAAATATGAGATGGAATATTGAATTAGTGTTCTTGAATGGTCTATGAATGAGTAATTGCTATTTGTTCAAATGTATGTCATACATAGTTCCATTATAAATATGAGATGGAATATTGAATTAGTGTTCTTGAATGGTCTATGAATGAGTAATTGCTATTTGTTCAAATGTATGCCATACATAGTTCCATTAATATGAGATGGAATATTGAATTAATGTTCTTGAATGTTCTATGAATGAGTAATTGCTATTTGTTCAAATGTATGTCATACATAGTTCCTTTATAAATATGAGATGGAATATTGAATTAGTGTTCTTGAATGGTCTATGAATGAGTAATTGCTATTTGTTCAAATGTATGCCATACATAGTTCCATTATAAATATGAGATGGAATATTGAATTAGTGTTCTTGAATGGTCTATGAATGAGTAATTGCTATTTGTTCAAATGTATGTCATACATAGTTCCATTATAAATATGAGATGGAATATTGAATTAGTGTTCTTGAATGGTCTATGAATGAGTAATTGCTATTTGTTCAAATGTATGTCATACATAGTTCCTTTATAAATATGAGATGAAATATTGAATTGATGTTCTTGAATGGTCTATGAATGAGTAATTGCTATTTGTTCAAATGTATGCCATACATAGTTCCATTATAAATATGAGATGGAATATTGAATTAGTGTTCTTGAATGGTCTATGAATGAGTAATTGCTATTTGTTCAAATGTATGCCATACATAGTTCCATTATAAATATGAGATGGAATATTGAATTAGTGTTCTTGAATGGTCTATGAATGAGTAATTGCTATTTGTTCAAATGTATGTCATACATAGTTCCATTATAAATATGAGATGGAATATTGAATTAGTGTTTTTGAATGGTCTATGAATGAGTAATTGCTATTTGTTCAAATGTATGTCATACATAGTTCCTTTATAAATATGAGATGAAATATTGAATTGATGTTCTTGAATGGTCTATGAATGAGTAATTGCTATTTGTTCAAATGTATGCCATACATAGTTCCATTATAAATATGAGATGAAATATTGAATTAGTGTTCTTGAATGGTCTATGAATGAGTAATTGCTATTT